GTGTTGTCTCCCCAACTGTTCTACAAGCTGTTTGAATGTTTCTTTTTTCAAACCTAAGCCAAATTGTACAGATATGCAAGAGCATAAGAAGAACCATATGTTTTAAGAGCTAAGGTCTTGTAATCCAGTTTTAGGTAGATTTACAGGGAAAATTTGTTGCAAATAGATTGCAAAATATGTTAATGGGTCTCACTCCCTGCTCAGTTTTGGCGGTCAGACTTAATGTAAAATCATGATTATTACAACTACATGCAGTTTGCACAAAAGCACCCATCACACTAAAACTGCACCATTAATTTAACAGTACAGTGATCTTGCACCTATATATGCATGCAGTTTAAATTCTGTTTGGAAAATGACTGGTGATTTTATGCAGTAGGAAATTTTTCTGGGTTCAGGATAGTCCAGGTTATAAAATGCTTTCTTGTATTTCTGGCTCCATCTAGTGACTCTACTTATAATTAAAGCAGAAGTTCAGCCTGCCCTTGAGCATCTATGATATTTTTCCAATAAGAGAGTTTTAGACTTTTGCCAGCATTAAGCAGTGGATCTCAACAATTAAGTTTTGGAATTTGGATAGCACATTATAGCCTTATAGCATACTTGGATAGCACAGTCTGGACAATATAAGCCATTACCAATCCACAGATCTCGAGTGAAATTTAGCACCATGAGCTGGGTACATGCAAGAAGATTTACAGCCTCATGATTTTGAAAAAATCCCCATTATTACATTCCACTTTTGCACTTCTGACCTGCTTTTAGTTCAAAATGGCTGGAAAAATAAAACCTCAGATTTTAAAATTTTCCCTAATGTTCTATTTAGTCAGAGGACTAAAACCTGGTGAATTACAGCCTATTACAGATATCCGCGATGCCTGGGAATCTGTGAAATCACATTTAATTTTGTTCTCAAATCATCAATTTCCCCTCAGTATTGTTCTTTTTGCTGGGGAGAGAAGGTCTGACCTTGACTTACTAGGTTGAGTTAAACAAATGGGGTGGATTGTCTGGGTTTTCTTATTCTATCCATAGGATTAGGCAGCTGCAAGATCACTTGGCCTTCCAGACCTGTGAATAAACTAATATTGTGACATGCATTGCTTCTGCTATTACACAATGGCACCTCAGGGCAGAAAACAGATTATGGGACAAGGACAGTGGTGATATTGAATTTCCACAAGAATTACCCTGTAAGAAGTCATTTTTTATTCATTAAAAGCTAAAAAATCCTAAAATTATTTTGTAATAATGAGGCTGTAAAGACTTCCACAATTAACAGAGGTGGCCATTAGTATGTGGCTGGACTGCAGATAGTTTTACTGTAATTTTGAAGTTATCTGGATGATTACTTCTGTAACCTTAAGTGCAAAAGTTTTGGCACTGCATATTTTTAGACCAAAGAGTTTTACCTGCCAAACTTAAGACAGGCATTACAGTCTAGGCATCTGCTTTGTCTTAGGAGATTCTTCCAATACCTTCTGTACATGATTAACCAAACTGTATTGAATTCAGGTAAAAATGTTTAATTCTATACCTAAAACGTCTGGATGATCATACATTCAGTTTCTGAAAGACTTGCAGACATGGTAGCTTAGTCAGTATCAAAGTGTCTCTCCAGTAGTAAGGGTACAGGCCTCAGGTGGACAAACTGACTCGACCATTCCCAAAAGTTTCATCTCTTCAATTATAAATGAAAGAAGCAGTTGTGTTCATCAAACATAAAACATAGCCATTAAAAAAAAATGGATCTTAATATTTAAAATGGTGTACTGGGTTAAAGACAAAGCATTTCAGAGACCTTTATGTAACAGCCTCACATATTTTTTTGAGATTTCTACCATTTTGAGATTCCAGTGTTGTGGCTCTCAACAGGTCTACACAGCCCATCCATTTATGGGTTATAAATTTTACCCATTTTCAGTTTTGTGTCTGAGCCTTCAAGAACATGACTGCTCCTGGATAGGGCATGGTCCTTGATTATCAATTTTGATGTTCATAGTGTTTAACCCATATACACTGCTTGTTTTTTCTGGTGGTTAGTTACCTTTGTAATGTTGCCTGAAATGCATGAACATTTTGATATGACTTAACTGTGTATAACAGGAAAGGAGCAAACAATCAAGGAAAAGAAAGTTTAGATGTGAACATCACTCTAAGAGAAATGTGCAAAACTCTCCAGAATTCTATGCAGACAAGGTTGAATTGCAGTTGTTTCAATGTAAAAACTACCTTGATAGGTAACTTTTCATAATTTATTGTGCCACAGAAAAAATAAAAAATACTTTCCTATGATACTGTCTACTTCTAGCCTTCTAAAAAATCTACTGTCAAATAAACAGCAAAACTTAAATCCTCCAGCCTTGCTTTTGGTTTTGTTATAGGCAGAACCAGGGGCAGAAAACAAGAATTAACACTTGAAGGGAAATAATCAAGAAAAGACAAAAAGAACTGAAAGGAAAATGCTCCATAAATAATTCTGGTAACTTTTGGTGTTTTCATTTCACAATCCAAAGCTTACTAAAGAAGAATCTCACAGATTCCGTTGTGTCTGGTTGCACAATGGTAGCGCAGTATTTTCATCTGTAATTTTCATGGAGAGCAGTCTAAGCATCTTTGAACACTGAGATAAGAAATTTAAGAGCTGCTTTTACAAGATAAGATCTACTTGACATTAAAATTATCATCTGTTTTAGATCAGTGAAATATCATGTATTTGCTTATAGATGAAACTGATTCTACTGCAAATCTTATTTTTCAAGATGGGAATGAATAATTAAGATATTAAGTGTTCAAAAGAAACCTTTACTTTCTCGGCAGCATTATGTTTCTCTGAATTACCATTGAGAAATCAAAATATAATGAATGTTGTTGTTGATTTTTTTTTTATTTTCTTTTTTTATGAGAATTATAAGGAAAAAAATTTACTTTGGCTGTATTTTATCCTTCTATCAACACTTTTATTAAGTAATACCCACAGACATTCTGCAATTACTGTGATTGCTTTGAACAGCATCTCCAGACTTTATAGAATGTTGAACTGTGTGGCTTGATAACTAGGGAACTGGAAAATATTATTTTATAAAGTTCATGTAGCAATCATGCAGTGAAATGAGAAGTGAGGCTTTCAGTGAGGTCAATGTTGTGGACAAGAAGAGAGAATTATTGCACAAGGTACTGAGGTGAGCCAGTGCAGGGGTTACAGTCATTGCTTGATGTTAAAAAAGACAGTGAGCTGCCACTTGCTACCATATGTACACCTCTGTGTTATGTACAGATGGTACTGATTTACATGGCAGGCACTAACCAGGACATTTTACCACACACAACTCTTACTTGAATGTAACAACCACAAACCTTAGTACAGCTCTGCACTACGGAAATTAAATATCTGACCTCACCATACCAATTTAATGGCGTCAGCAACATCAAAAAACTTCATGACCTCCAATCCAAATATTCTCTCCAAGAGATGTGAAATGAGGATGGTACAGATGTTTCTTACTTAAGTATAAGTGCATTCATTTCTCTATGCCCTTGCAGTCTGTGCCAAAGCTGCATCCCAAGTCTACAAAGCATGAAAGGTGAAATGGTTATGCAATGTTGGGTTACAACAAAATCTTAATCAGATAAAGCTAATCAGCAATAAGCAGATAAATACCAAACACTGGAGCTTCGTAAGAAAATACTTTTCCTTATTTAGGCAAGTACTGTGGTTTATTTTAATTGACTTTTCCTATTGCAGCACAGAAATACGAACTAATTTAATGAGACAAATTTTTCCTCCCTTCACTTTTGAAAATTAACTTTGTAAGAGCACTTGCTAGCAACAGAAAAAAAAGTTGAAATGCAGTTTTGTCTTCAGGCAAGGAATAGCTGGCATGCTAATTAAACACAAAACCTTTTGTGTTTTATTGTTGAAAAGGGCATTAAAGATTTTGATTTGATACATAAAGATTAATTCAAAGTAAAATGCACTTATATTGTAGATTCAATAGTACAAATATTTAAAGTATTTTTTAAGAGAGCCTCTGGAAACAAATATTTATTCTTTCTACAGTATGGCTTTAAATACACATCAGGGCATTTTACAAAGACAGCTTTATGAGGTAAATGTGCCAATTCCTGGCCAGTAACTCATTCTACTACCTCTTCTTTAGAGCTCATTCCTGAACATGAATGATCTTTTGTATTTGTCATCCAGTCATGACTGTTTCAGAAAGTTTACCATTAAAGTACTCCATATTATATCTTAACAGAAGATGCTGTGATTTTAGGCTTACTGGTGATCATACGTTTCACTTCACTCTTACTTTCTTTTTGGACTTTACAATTAACTCCACTGGCTGCTGATACTCTTTCCTCCCTAAGGTTTTTGGTTTTTTCCAAGCCATACTTTCAGTCATAACTTTTCCTGGGTTTCCTATGCTTGAGCATTTAAAACCGTGTATGGTGTCTTTTGCAAACTTCATCACTTTCCAAATCGCCACCCCTCCCCTTGTCTGCCAATCCAGCTTAAAACCCACCCTAGCAAAGGACATTCTTTGCTGAATAAATGCCTGCTCCAAGTGTGTTCAGGATGCTCATCATTTAGCTGCCCATTGCTAACATGCTCCTCTTGGGGCACTAAGCGGACTAAACATCAAACATCTGTTTTTTCTGCATCTTCTTCACTTTTGTGTGACCCTTTCCAGCACAAGTTTTACTTTGCCGGCGGAAATGCCCCTCAGCGCTAGGAGCAGTCACACGTTCGCTCCCGCAGGAGCGCCCGCCTGCCGCGGGGCCGTGTCGTGCCGCCGTGCCGTGCCGCGGGGCCGTGCCGTGCCGTGCCGTGCCGTGCCGCGGGGCCGAGCCGAGCCGTGCCGTGCCGTGCCGTGCCGTGCCGTGCCGTGCCGTGCCGTGCCGTGCCGTGCCGTGCCGTGCCGTGCCGTGCCGTGCCGTGCCGTGCCGTGCCGCGGGGCCGAGCCGTGCCGTGTCGTGCCGTCGGCCGCCGCCGGGGGCGCTAGGCGCGGGGCGCGGCCCGGCCGCGGGCAGGCGGCGTGCGGGCGGCGGCCATGGCGCTTTCGGCCGTGCAGCAGGTGCTGGTCTCGGCCGTGCTGGTGCTCTGCGTCTTCGTCGTCATGCCCAGGATGTTCGGGGGAGGAGGCGGCGGGCGGCCCGGCCGATCCCGGGGCGGCAAGGCCGGCCCCGGCCATTACGATCCCCGCCTGCAGGGCAGAGGTAGGAGCCGGGGCGATGGCGCGGCCGGGTGCCGCGCGGGAGCCGCGGCGGGCTCGGGCGGCTCGGAGGGAAGCCGGGATCCGAGCGGGATGCACTCGTTACATCCCTCCGGCGGGAGCTCCCGCTCTGCGCGGGCTTGGACCGAGAGGCCTGCTCAGACCTCCTCGAGCTGGCCTGCAACACCCCCACCTCCTGCGCTGCTTTGCTGTTCTGGTTCGCCGGTGCTTTGGGTTTTGTCTGTATTGTCTTACCAAAAGTGCTGTTTAGTGCAGGAAACACGCGGTAGTTGGAAGTGCGGAGCGGTGTGGGGAACAGTGCCCGTAGGGACACAATCGAACAGATGGGCCGAGAGGTGTCACAGGGGAAAGTCAATTGCAGTAATGAAGGCGTGTGTTGCTGTCAGTAAATACACGCACAGTCATACAAAATCTGGCCGGCAGTATATAAAAATATATATTAAAAAGTATATATATTTATATATATATATATATAAAAATTATATATATATGTAAAAAATCAGAATTCAAGATGCTTGTTTAGAAAAGGTATCAATGAATGGGTTATAGAATTTACTACTTGTGGAGCTATAGTGGTATCCATGTATGTTAAGCCATGTCGCTGCATGTCACGATTTAGCTCCAGGTCGAAAACGCCTTTGTTTTTGACAATCACTAAAAGCCTGCTTTTGTGAGGTAGCTCTGTGATTCATTGATGATGCCTTCCAAGGTATTTCAAACCAAGAGACAGGTAGTTGCTATAATCCTCCAAATGTCTGTGCTTTTCCCTGCTGGCAGAAAAATGGAGGTTTGAGCTGCTACCGTGTTCTTCCCACCTGATGTCAAACTTACTGTGCTTCATAAGTTCTTGCCTGTCCTATTTTGCCTGGTTATTTTTTATTTAAAAGGTAGCTGTATATTCCCTATAGATCAAATTATTTTAAAACCAAATCCCAAAAAAAGGAAACACTTCACATGCCTGTGATTCTACTGAACTACTGATCCAGCACTGAGTAAAATCTCAGACAGATCTCCTATTCTCATCTCTCTGGGTGGTTCTTTTTTCCTGGTTGGCTAGTAACTCACTTTGCTGTTTCTTCTGTGGGATAAACTCGGTGCAGGACACTAGTGGACTAGGATTCAACATTCCTCCACCCTTGCCACATTCTTATTTGTATGGTCTGTAGAAATCTTGTTCATCTGTGATAGCTACTATTTTAGTAAAACTACTCATTTACTTTAAAAACAAATAGTACTTAAAATAGGGAAAAAAAGGTGGGTGTAAATGTTAAACTAGTAATCAATATTAAACATTCTGAAAGGTGGAAAAGAAATATAATATGTGATTTCCAGATTAGTTAATGCAGTTTTAGCAAGTCTAAACCTACTTGTACTGAAAGGACAACCCCTGCCTGAATTTGCACTGAATGAGGAAGGTAGCTTGAATTCTGATTGTATCAGCTAGAGCATTTAAGTTTTGTGTAACATTAATTCTTTTCTCTATCTGATCGTGGCTGTACTTTGCACACTTGAGTTACATAACTGTGAGTTCCTGAATTGCCAGTGTTACAGTAGTAATTGATAAGTAGTGATGATGGTATTTTGTTTGGGAGTTTATATTGAACGTGAACCTTGCCATACCCATACTCAGTCCTGATGCATTAAGTTTTTAGTCTAGGCACTCAGTTGAGGCATCAGTGTAAAACTTCACAATCCCCCAATCCCCTGCTGTCCGTCTCTGCAAGCATCTGCTTTCTTTAGCTGATGGTGGTGTTCCATATGTGCATGTCCCATGAACCCTTGATTTAACTACCAAATAACCTGTTTCCTATGTTGAACAATAACATTGGCTATTTTCTCATCTGCTCCCTATTCTGGTAGGCAAATTACATGCAAAAACACTTCTGACTTCCAAGGTTGCATCTCTTGGGTGTTGTATAATCTTCTCCTGCTAAATATTTGATTTGCAGAGGTACAGTAGTTCTAGGCCTGTGGGAATATCCATGTAAGACTGCATTTACTGTCAAAATAATAAAAGAAGCAACACAGCGTATTTCAAAAAAAGGGTTTTTTTTCTGGTATCAGACAATTCAGTTTGTAATTAACTTGGTTCCTTTGGTGCAAAGGAAAAAAAATTAATGAATATTTTCAGCATTATCAATAGTTTCTCTGAGTATGCTTTAATTTCAAAATCTAAATTGTTTCTTGTTACATCTATCTTTCTGTGATTTGTGATTTGCTGAGGGTTTGCCAATGTTGCTGTGAAAAAGCTTAAAAATTGTACATTAAAGAAACCAAGCTTGGCTTGAGAGATTTTGCTGCCTAGATTTAACTGCATTCTGTTAATGTAAGAATAATTTTTAATTTTTTAACAGGCTACAAGGCTGCCCACACCATCTTAGAACAATGATTACAGAAGAAGAAAATAATTTCATTCCAGTTGTGGACTCCTGATTTTATTTCTTACTTGGTTGTCTTTCCCTCAATTTTATTTTTAAGGTAGTCCTCAGACAGTTTTGCAAGTGCACCGGAATCCAGGAAATTCTGACAGTAATACCTACCAGAGTATTCAACAGATGAGAAATGCAATGGAAAAAGAGATAAAAAGTGAGAGAACAAGAGGAAATGGTCGAGAGTTAGCATTCACCCTCATGCCGTTGTATGCTCTTGGAGTGGGAATGTTTGCAGTCTACAAACTTCTTAAGGTAAGCCATAGGAAAAGCATTAAATTATTGTAGTTAGGAGAAAGTGTAAATGCTTGGCTTGTTTTTTTTTTTGTAATTCTGAGTCTTGCTCTGACTTTGAATGTGAAGTCCAAAGTTAAATTTTTAGCGTATCTAATTCTTCCATATGAAGGCTTCTGGCTAAGGTATTTTTAAACGCTTGAAGAAGTGAGAATCTTACTCACCCTGCAGCCTCAAATGAGAATCTGAGAACCTAAACAGTGCTGCTACCTGAGTCTGTAACCTAAGTATCATCAGTGTTTCCCTTCCTTTTCATTCTTCAGAATGAGATTGAGTATGGGAAGGAGGCGAACAATTCCTGCAGAGCAGTGGTCTTAGATTAGCAGTTAGGTAGAACAGTGAGTAGACTTAACCTTTTGTTTGGACTTCTCTTGTGATCATGCAGTTGCAACATGCAGGTTATGGGATACCTTTTGTACCATTTGTAATCTAAAAAGGAGAACACATAATTGGTTGGTTTTTTGTTTTTTAAAAGAAATCAATCTTGAAATGTATTATTTATAGTAAGAGATACACAAAGCTGAAAGTGCACCTGGAATATTGTTGCTTGCCCTCAGGGAAAATAAAAATGAACAGGAGTAAGACTGGAGACAACATGCTCATTTCTGGAGTCACTTCATGTTAATCTTGTGTATGAGAAAGTTATCACGGCTTAGCAAAATGAGTATAGGGGCTACCCAGTTTAGTACAAGATTTGAAAAGCATGAAAACCATATTTTGGCTGTTACAATTCTATACACTTGGGCTTGTGGGTTTAAAATGTAAGTATTTTTATGATAGTATCTTTATTACTTTAAGAAATAAATTCTATATCCTAATTAATGATAGGAGACTGGATCCAGTGACCTAGAAGGTTTCTTCTGCTTCTTTTTGAAATAGCAACTGCTTTCTTTTACAGCTTTTGCCAGTCATGTTGTGTTTACTTAAAGTCAGAAGTGTTACTTTAAGACAGGATGAGGCATCACATAAGAAAAGTTTCATTAATGTAGCACATTTTCATGGTTGCTGTTTACTTTTGCTTAAGTTCTAAATGCAGTTTTGTTTTTAGTACACAGGTAGTGATGAGGTTGTTTAACTAGATTGTATTTTTTAAAGATGAAGTCACATGAAGAAAGTCAGTCCAAAAAGGAAAAGAGTACAGAAGACAAGGCGAAGGAAACAGGTAAGATATGCATTCAGAATGCATATGTTCCACAAAAGTGCTTATTTCTTACTGGAAAAAAACATGTTTTCATTGATGCAATCTAGCTAAATGAAGACAATCTCTCAAGTTAACTGAGAGCAGTTAGGAATCTACAAAAACCCACTTTGTTATTCTGTATGTTTTAAATGCTTGTTTGAGGTTTGTTTTAATTCTCCAGATGTAATACTCTTTAAAACAGCTGTTGTAATGCTGTATGATTCTTTGCCTCTAAAATGTCTGAATGTTTTTCTCACTTAAGATCTGTTCAGTTTTCTTCAGTTGAAGTGGGATATAATTAAATAGGGTATTTAAAAATAAGATAATGATCTGGTTTATAACTGAAATGTATTGATAGTGGAACTGTGTGGCTAAACAATTATAGAGACCATGTATGATTTCTAGGCCAAATGAGAAACTGTCACAAACATTCAAAGTTGATGCTGTTTTCATACCTTTTTCTCCCTTGTACAGAGACATTTTTAGTGAATTAAACAACTACCAGCATTGTTTGGTGTCTGTGTATACCATGTTTGTAATGAGATTCAGCAGTGATTTGCTACACTGCCTACTCATCATCCTTGTGTGTTGCATTCTTCTCTCTTCAAAGTTTAATTGTATTTTAGGAGGAGTAAGTCCTCTTGATTCTAGTGCATTAAGCATTAAATATATTTGTAAGGTGTGAATATACAAGCACATGAAAAGTATAAATACAGTACTTATATCTCAGGAAGTCTTGCAGCTGCATGGTTTTTGAGACTGGGAAGGTGAGCTCCACATTCTTGCTCAGTTTCTACAAAGGTGTCCTCTGGGCACTATTGGAGATAGGTTACTGGCTGGAAAGGACTACTGCTCACACATAATAAGTCTTCTGTTCTTAGCCCCACCACTTCCTTTTCATATTGTCAAATTTTTCATGTGAAAGAAGCTGTCTGGTTTTGAATCTGTCCAACGAAAAATATAAATGAATATCCTAATGATATTGTAAAGACTTTTTTTACAATGTTATTTCTTTCCTCATCCCCCTCTCTCTCCCCCCACACCTTTGTCTTTTTTTGTTGTGTTGTTTTTGTTTGCTTGTGTTTGTTTGTTTTTGTTAGAGCATCAGCTTTTAGAACTGGAGCAACACCTAGCTCAGACAGAGAAAATGTTAAATTCTTTATTGACTCAGTTGGATCCACTTTCAAACTGGTGAGTGTTTCTAAAAAAAATCTCAGTGTTTTTTCCTGTATATTGAAATTCACCAAAATTTTAACAACGACTTCTTAAAATGATCCTTACATATAGGTAAGGAACAGTTTTAGGAACCTTCTTTGATTATTTATTGTTTCTGTAGGCTTTTGCAGGTGATACCAATTCTGCCATTTGTGAACTTTTTCACAGACACTTCCCATCTCTTGTTCACCAAACATAAATGCAAAAGATATGATCATGTTACCGTGTCTTAACAGAGATGAACTTTTATATTGACCAAGGAGACCAATAGTGAAAATATATTTAAACTCAGTAGCATTTGAAAGGCCTTGTGGGAAATAGGTTTTGGTAGCAGAGTGAGTTTCTTCTTTTAGATGTAATTATAAGAAAAAAAAAGCTATCAAAGCATAGCTGCTTTTTTTTTGTGTGTTTTGAAGTGAATCTGTGAAGTGTGTGTGTTTCAGTGAAATAGAACTTGTCTGTTTTAATATGACAAGGGAATCAGTAACATAAAAGCTCCCTTCATGAAACAGGTTAAAACATGCAGAATTTCCTGATTGTTTCTGCAGTGTACTTCTGAATTGGGTATGTGCTGAAACTATTAAGCAGTAAATTCACTGGCCAGTTTGCCTAACAAATTTCTAGTAGTGGTAGGGAGGAAAGGAAAAAAACTTTGAATGAGAAAAGCTTTCAAACTCTAAAGTTCTGTATTAGGCATTGTCATGCTACTAATAACAGTACTTTGGATAATTACTGGAGTAATTAATTTGGAATCATTGCTTGACCTTGGCCTTCAGGACTCCAAAGTTCCGTGACATTGAGTGGTTGTATGATGTAATGGCCTTCCAGCTTCTCAAGAGACAGTTCTCAAAGGAAAGCTTGACCTAAACTTTTCAAAAACTTCACTATGGTATTTATGCACAAAACTAAATATTACAATAAGTGTATTATTGTCAGGCACTCCCTTCCAAGATAATATTTCAGCTGTTAACATTTGTCTTTTTTTTTTTCCTAGTGTCAATGCTTTAGCGTGTGAGCAGAAAGATGAAATAATGACACAGCTCCAATCAATTAGACGACTGATGAAAGAAAGTGGATTGGATAAATCAGAAAACAAGATGAAAGGTAATTTAATTTTCAGACAGATAGATAATTAAGTAGTTTATATTTTAAAATAATAGATAGATCTTACTATAATGATGTTTAGCTTCTGAGTCTTAGGTAATTTGTGTGGTATTAGTTTTATTCTGGAGGAATACCATTCTTCTTATTTGAGATGTATCCCATTTCAAATTTTTGATACATCATGATTTATTTAAGAATAGGTGCTCAAGACATTGAACTGGGGTGGACCACAGAGTCACATCCTGTTTTGATAAAGGAACAGACTACTAACAGACTACATAGGAATTGATGTTCTTATGTAGTCTGTTAGTACTGGACTAACTTTAGGCAAAGGATTTTCAAATGGGGACCTCAGAGGCTGTGAGTAATGCTTACATAAAACACTATACAGCAAATTGTATGTTAGTTTCAACTGGAGACTCCCAAGAGCTGCATAGTAGCCAAGAGAAATCTTAAATGTTAAGAATGGTCCATTAGAAATTTGGTGATTTTTTGCATTATTCAAGTCTTAATAAAAGAGAAAAAAAAATTAAAAATACTCTACTTCTAAACTGACACTGATATTCAAAGCTTACCAGTAAACTTTAATTTTGATTATTTGTTGGGAATTTTAAGATTTTGGACACATTTGTGATGAGAAACTTGAAGATCTCATTCAGTCATTTGCCGAACATTCTCAAGAGAAAGAAATGGACAACAGAGAAGATGAATGTAATGAAGATTTACTTGAGGATATTGATAATGATTACAAAATAGAAGAGCACGAATTACATGGTGAATGTGAAATACATCATTTGGAGGCAGATGTTGTGGAAGATGAAGAAATGATAAGCAAAGATGTCATTGAATCAGAAGAGATGGGACTGAGGAGACGCAATAGATATGAATGGAATCTGCATATGTAAAAGTTCTAAAAGCTTATGAAATCTTTTTATAATGTTGTATGCACTTTAAACTGAAATGAAGTTATGTGCACTGCTATATGCTTTAAAAAGAGGGGTGAAATACTGCCTTTGCTTGTATCTATGACAATTCTGTAACTGACTTCAGTGGCAGCAGAATTTTACTCAGGATGTTTACATATTTTTTCTATTTATTTTTTCCCTATAAAAATATTTCTGTACTCTGTATATAATGCACTGTAATTATATCTGATGCTTCACTAAAATTTTAGAATATCGTCTTGAGACTAGAAAGAACAGGTGTTCCATAAATGTTTGTGGGAACCCAGGACATCCCTCTGGCTGCCCTGGCTGTCTCAAGACCCTGTCAGGGGGCTCAGAGACCTTGGCACAAAGTCAAAAACACCTGTGGCTTTGATTTTAGCCCGTGGAAAAAACTTCCAACTTTGTATGAAGAATTACAAGCCACAAGGAATTGAGTAGTGTGGTAGTTGAATTAACACAGGGTGAAAAAGTAGAATTTTAGGGTTTTAAAATAAGGGGTTTAAGGGGACAGGATGGATGGATTTGGGCATGTCCTGACCTTCTTCTTCTTGTTGCCTTCCATGTCTTGCTGTGATGGTGACACTTTTCTATTGGTTTAAGGTAGAGACACACTGTCCAACATAATGATAGATACTGGCACGTTATTGTAAACATAGTAATGTAGTTTTTAGTATAAAAGGTAACACCACCCCAAGAGGGGTTGGAGTCTGTCGCAGGCTGACCTGCTAGACAGAGCTCAGCTCCTTGAGAAAGCATGTTACAGATAAAAGAAAATAAACAACCTTGAGAAGCTGACCCTATGCATTCCGACTTCTTCTTTGGCTGCGCAGGCTGGGAAGCAAGGACTTTTGCATTCCCGGGGCCACCTCGACCTCCAGACCCCTTAGAAAATGTTCTGGAACTAGAAAGCATTATGCCACTTGAACTGTGACTTTCTTGAATTCATTAAAGAGCATGCACTGTTGAATTCAGCTCTTTGTGGAAAAACTTTCTGAGAGTGTGAAAAGCAGAATGCATTTAGTCTTTGATAGTCATTCATAGTTAAGTTTCTTTATTTGGAGAGAGAAATTTAGCCATGGACACTATATGAAAATACTGATGGCTGAATTTGCAGTCTCTTGAATAATGATATTTAGTTTTGTATGTCAATGCAATCCCAAATGTATTACACTGGATCACTTAATTTCTTCCCCACTTGTCACTGGTTAAACTCAGTAGCTGTGTAATAACTGATTAATACCCATTAGTATTGTATCTCTCTTTGACATTTATTTTAATACCATTGAATCTGACCTTTTGATTCATTTTAATACACTTTATTTTTTTACATCCCAATTAACAGATGTGTTGCTATGTACCATTCAAGAAGTGTGGGGTGTATGATCTTGTTTTCAATACATTATGCCAATTTGATAGCTGCCTTTTGAGGTCAGTATTAGGAAAAGCATTTATTTTCCTTTGCCAGAATAATTTTTGTCCACCGTTTCATTATTTACTAATTTTTTTTTTGTTCATTTAATACTTCTTTTGTTCACACCTATGGTACTGCCAGCCTTTTAATGACAGGAGTTGCCTTAGAGGTAGGTCTGACAGTACAGCAATGTTACATTTTGTTTTATAATTGCATAGCTTTTAAGTAGGCCAGTTATGATGCCTGAACTCTTCTGGCATCCTTATTCTTACAGGAGAATAGCATGTGAATTTGTTTTTATGGAGGAAATGTACTGTGCTTAAAGGGACTAAATTTATTATTGTGTCACTCACTGAAATGGAATGAATTGTTCATTCTGGTGTAGACACATGGTATGTATTTTGTATTTTGTTCTAAAACTGGATCACACAGGCTTGGAAGTAGCAGCATCCAGAAATACATTCTTAGCATCAATGTGTTAGTAGTTTTGCACTAAGTGAGATTTTGCCTAACTTTGGAAAACTGACTGACAACAGAGCCAGGGTTTCTCAAGCGGTGGCAGATTTTTCCCCCAAGGCAGAAGGGGTGAATCAGAACTGGTACTTGGATACAATTTGCTTTTAGAAAATAACTGATGTTGCTCTGGGCATTCAGGACAAATGAAAAATCAGTTTCATTGAGGTTTTTCTTTGAAATATGTAATGTATTAAGGTCAACTAGCGTCAAGGCCGTTGATCTGCGGGAGCCATGGAGCGGGAGGCAGGTGTGCTGCGCTGTGTTTGCATCATCCCTGCTGTGCCTTTCACCTCCGCGAGTTTCCGGAGGCTGCCGACACTTCACTTGAAGCCGCTGTCCGAGAGGCCCTGAGCTGCCTCGGGCTGGTCGCTGTGTTTCTGACCCAGGCTACGAGCGTGCCGCTGCGCTCTCGCCGCAGCGGAGGTCTCCGGTTCCAGCTGCCGGCGTTTGCCGGGGCAGAGCCCGTGTGGTGTGTGAGCGCCCGCCTGTCCTGGCGGGGCTGCGGGGGCCGCAGGGCGGGCAGACCCGGCCGTGGGCGCGGGGAGGAGGGCCGGCCGGGCCCGGGCAGGGTATTTCCGCAGGAGCCATCGGGAACTGCGCTGCCCCGCTCCGCCCAGGCGCGCCTTGCGCAGCCCTGGTGCCAGGCCTGGCTGGGGTCGGCCGCTCCGCGCTGCTGTAGCGGCAGCCCCGCGGCGCGGGCACCGTGGAGACAAGGCGGGAGTGCGGGGCGGGACGGGGCCGGTCCGCCAGCCCTGCGCCCCGGCACCGCTCCGGTGAGACACAGCCCCTGCCCGCCGGGCCCCGCGCCCTCTTGCGAAAATGCATCGTTTCCATGGAGCTGCTGAGCTCATAGTTTATTCCGCCTTTTGCAGCGTTGTTGTTTGATAAAAGTAATCTCAGCGTGTGAGCCATTAAGTGCAACAACGCCGTCTGCGCCCCAGGTGGGAGGATGCTCCGTTCGGGAGCGCCTCCGGGCCGTGCGCGGCCATTCTCCGTGCCCTGGGAAGGGCTTGGGCGGGAGGGCAGTGCGGGGCTCCAGGCAGGCCCTGCAGCCCTGCTCCTGCTCGGGAAAGGAAAGGGTGCCTGGCAGTGGGAGCTGCTCAGGGCCGTCAGCCTTCCGATTGAAAATGGGATGTCTAACTGATGGGCTTTTGGTTCGAAACTGGCTGCGTGAAGGAGAAGCCAGCGGAGCGGGAATGCTTGGTGGCATGTCCCCCTGGAGCTCTCGGAGCCTGGCAGTGTGCCGGGACGACCCGTCCGTCTTCCTGAAATGTTCCCAGGGCATTGAGCGATGGAGAGCCAGGCAGCAGTTTTAAGAGGAGAGTACAAAAGGTTTGATGTTGCCAAGGGGTAACAAATCAGTATTACTGGAATGAGAATGTATTGATAAGTGTAAGGGGAAAAGGGAGTTAAGCTTCAGGCAAAAACATAAATTTGAACAGGAATGTGGTTAAGCATTAGTAATAAAAGACTGAAATTAAGAGGCTGTGAAAAAGAGAAACCGACAGCATTTCATAGCTTGCTGAAGACAATACCAAGATTCTTTCTAATGCAGTAACTTTGGTTTTGCCCCAGAAGTACTTAGATAAAATAATGCATGTTTTTCTTAATAGTGTTTTCTGTTTTTCAGTTTTTTTCTGAAAGCTGCCATTGAATTTGCATGGATTTGGAAGTTAAAGGAGTTGCTGCATCCCCTCAAAGGAAGGCTGACTTGTCATTGAGGGGGAAGAAATGTCAGGTAGTCAATGGAAGGCTTGTGATTGTTTTTCTTCCTTACTTTGATATTTTAATCATACTTCAGATATTTTAATTTGAGGTTAAAATCCATTCTATAAAGAAGACACCTTGTAAAGAAATTATTTTTGTTGGAAAGGGATAGTTTAGTACCACAGCTTCTCAAATGAAGGCGAGAAATTGCAATATAAACATCTATCCTAGAATAACTGCTACTCTGAGGACTTAATTGAAATGTGGGGGATTTAAGAATGAACTAGTACTTGCAGTTAAGAGCAACAGAGGCTTGAACTGTGTGCTATCTCAGGCTATTGGTGAAACTGGCAACAAGTGGGTCTGTGTTTTTGTTTTGTAAGACAGCAATAAAGTGAAGCAGGCCCCATAATATGATTTGAAAAGGCATGATTTTAGGTCAACATGAAAAATTAATCTCTGTGCTCTGTGTTCAGTATGGAGGGAAATTACGTTTTCCAGGTATTCCTAATAGTCTACATTTTGAGATAGGGTAGGTGTGCAACCCTCATAGGTTCACTGTAGTAGAAACTTTAGGGCCAACTTTTCATAGTCCCTAAGAATATGATCTTGGATTCTGAGTGCCATTATTCTCCTTACTGCTGAGGTAAATATTAATATTGTTAGTAACAATTGATTTTTCTCACAGATACTGTGTACTCTATGTCCATGAACTAAAGTTAATTGCTAATCCTCCCTCAGCCCCTAAGCACCCATTTTACTTCCTTATTTGTTGCATGACCCCATTAGGAATTCTTGGAGTTTGGCTGCCAATGGGCTAGTCTTCTTTTCAGTTTGATTTGGAATGAAAAAAGACCTTTTGTAAATGTTAACACATCAGTGTATAATGTTACTGTTAATGTTTTAACCAGATTTTTGAAAATTAAATATCTGTGGGTAACAAGAACATTTGAGGCATTTAGTGTAGGTTGTAAAAGAAAAGAAATATCTTTTTTTTAGTCTAATCTCTCCTCCCTTTTTTCTTTCTTTCTTGTGCAACTAAGTTTCCAAATTTAGACTCTCTGGTCCACATGACTTTTGGTAGTTTGCAAAAGTAAATCTTAAATTAAAACTATGCTGAGATAATGTGCTTCACCCCAGCGTTCACAATGTTTTTTGTTTGCTTTCTTCCTGATTTTTTGACTTCTAGAAAAGGAATCATGTTAAGGCTTAAGCATCTAGAATTAGCTGTATTCTTTACCTCAGCACAGTTAAAATGATACAGAAAAAAGATAAATGTGGTATGTAATGCCTTGTTTTTGATGATTTGACGGTCTTAGGTAGGTGACCACAGGGTGGCGGTGCTCTTTAGGTGCGGAGAGCTCTCAAACCTGGGTACCGGGGCTCGTTCTGGAGTCACTAGAGGGTAGTGTTGCCGAATTTCTGCTTCGGGAGCAGCTGCAAGGCTGTATGGCAAGAAAGGAGTTACAGTTTTGTGCTTGCTCTCAGATCGTGAAGGATGTTCGAGTACTGCTGGAAATAGGATTCTGCTCCGTTTAGGCTGTGATGCTGAGATTTATGAGTTGAAAAGTGTGAAAACAAAAATGTTAGCCCTGGTTCTGAATGTTCTCAAACCAATGTTTTTTTTTCAGACTGGGAGGCCAGTTAGGTGAATTGTTACTTTGTGCTTGCCCCAAGCAGCCTGCCCTATGGATTTGTTGCTAGCTGTTTCAAAAAGTCATAGGGGGATAGGTGATGCTTTGGTTTGAGTCTTTTTTCTTGCTATGTTCTTACTTAGTTGAATTTGGAGATCTGTGTTGTATTCAGCCTTGCAAAATAAAGTGAACTGTCTAATCATCATCACGACTGCTAGCTATAGTAAGGTTGAGATGAAACAGTTACACCAAATATCAGGGGTTCTTTGGGGTCTGAGCTAGCTCCTTGTGAACCACCTCGCTGTCAGTCTTGTGGTTTTGGTTTAAGGGTTGGTTTCCAACTGACAAGGACAATGTGACCTAAAGCCTTGTGAGCAGTGGTGGTACAAAGCCTCAGGAGCACAGATTATTTTTAATGTATTATTAATAGCTGATGTGGATGCTGTCTAGATTCTTAATGGCAGGAAGTCTTCCTGTCATGATGAATATTCAGTCTGCTAGTCTCATGATGTGAAAGAATTAGCTTTCAATGAGAAGTTTTTGTTTTTTTCCCCTTGTTAGTAGTGTCTTAGTCAAGTATGTTGGACTGATACTTTAAGCTTCTAATTTTAAATATTTGAGGGGAAATTGAAAGGGAGAACTATGTATTTTAATCTGAATTGCCTAGGTATGTAATAATGTGTCATTCTTTTAGGGCTGGAGACCAAATAGACAAGCTACACACAGTCCTCGCCCACCAGAGTAAGTCTGCTTCTATTTCTGCTCAGCTTGTTTAATTGTGTTTGCAAATTGCAAAGCTTGCAAATTGCATTTGCGTTTGTAGTGACATGCAACTTGGTATTCCATGAAATTTATCATCATATGTTTGTTTTCTGTGATTTATATATGAAGTAGAATATTTGATGCATTATTTACTTTGGAATTAAGTTGTTTATGTTTGGCTGAGTGGAGGTGTAATTATAGGATGGGTAAAGATGGAAGAGACGACATTGGGTCTAACCCACTGGTCCATCTGTGTGGGAGCATGGATTGTAGGAGACCAGAGACAGTGCTGAAGGCAATCTTGCCCCTGAGGAGTTGCAGCTGTACTAATCACCAAAGAGTAGGAGCAACCCTGCCTTTAATAGGTCACAGCTGTGTCCGATAAGGGTGGGTGTTATAAAAGAGTGGGTTATCGAGCTGAGCAGAGAGCTGGAGTTAGTTGGCTGTGCGCTGCAAGGTGTAAGGGTCAGGCAGTCATGCTATGGACAGTAGGGGTTAGGCAGTTGTGACAGGGACAGGAAGAAGTCAGCCAGCCGTGTGGAAGAAAGAGAAAAGGAGTCAGTGTTGCGAGGAGCTGCCCGTGAGAACTCACAGAGAGAAGGTATGAAAGTCTTACAGTGAGATAACAAACTGGTGATAGCAGTTTCCATCCACTGTCCATTGGTGCCAAGCACTGACCCCAACAATTGGTGGCCCATACAGGGATGAGTTCTGACAGATCTGGTCCAACCTCCCTGCTTAAGCAGGGTCAACCCAGAGCACATGGCTCAGGATTGTATCCACATGGTTCTTGAATAGTTCCATTCAGGGAGACTCCACAACCTCTCTGGGCAACCTGTTCCAGTGCTCAGTTACTTGCAGTGAAGAAGATTTTTTTGGGTGGAACTTCCTGTCCATCAGTTTCTGCCCTTTGCCTCTTGTCCTATTGCTAGGCATCACCAAGAAGAACCTGGCTCCATCCTCTTTAGAGGGTGTCACTCAGAGCTACATATTTATACATTGTTTTGTTTGAATATTTTTAATGTGTCTGCAAAAGGAGAAAAACAGTATTTTAACTGTTGACTGCTTTTACAAGTATTACAGTAAAAATACAGAGAAACTATTGTGAATTGTTTTTAAAAGCAATGGGAAATTTTGTTTGTGCTTTTAAAATTTAAAACCTTATAATAACTTTGGCACATAAGGAATATCTATTCTTCCAAGGACCATGATTGATAGTTTAGTCAGTTTTGTTTACTGAAATGCCTTAAAGCAAATGTATGTAATTATTTTATAAGTGTGTGTGACTATGACCTTTGATTCTTCCAACCAAAGTCAAAAAATTCCAATTCCTGTGTCCTGTCATTATGTAATTAAAAAACCCTGTAAAATAAGGAACTCTCTTATTCCAAGAAGATATAATAGAATTGCTTGGAAATATTGGTGGTAAAATATAAAAAAATACATAATCATGGTGTTCTGCAATACACCTGGATTAAAGGCAGAAGGCACAGAGGTGCTTTGATGAATTGGAAATGTTTTCATTTCTTTAAGCAGAACAAAATACATTGTCTTTTACTGTGTTAATCTCCTATGGAAAGTTTAGAAGGTTTGCATCTCAAGTGGCAATTGCTTCCTTATTACCTCTCTGTTGACTGATTGTAGAGGAATGTTGACACGAATGTGCTGCGGAAGACAAGAGTAAGGTATCCCTGATTTATGATCTTGTTGCAGTAGCTCCTGTTGGGGAGTGAAGAGATGCCAGTGTGGGAGTAAAGAAGGGTCCTTTTGAGCTGCCAGGGTACTCTGCTGCTGGGGAAGAGAAGCTCAGTGGCCACTTGCCGAGTTGAAGCAAGAGGGGCTAATAGAGATTTGCTGAGTAAGCCATATACAGCTGCATGGAAATTTTTGTCAAGGACCTAATAATAACTAATAGGCAGTGCTTTTATTATAGATAAAAAATAAGAGAATGTGTTGCTGTTAAAATTGTTTTAACTCCCTGCAGGGTGCCACGCCTAGATCTAGGGAGGTTGGGAGATTCTGATGAAGAGGTAATTGTAAATTAATTTTGTCTCAAAAAGTTTTCAGAATTCACATTTTTCATGAATTTATAAAAGTATCACTTTGAATATAAAACAATTATGATTACCTGTCCTTTTTTCCTGTGATCTTAGGATGGGGACTATTACATACCATACACTGGAAGTTCTTCTCATAAGTGCCAGCTAGATTCATCTTCAGAGTGGAGAGCGCCATTACAGACTCCATATGCACAGCATCAACATGTCAGTCTGTCACTACAAATATCTTTATAATATACCCCTTTAGCAGTAATTTGGAAAAACATGCATATATTTTTATGTAAGTGTTTTTGCTTTTTTTCCCTTTTGGTTAAGCTCATATCTCCAAGTGCTGTTGGTTCTAAATATTTATGGCAAAGTCCTTTTACTGAGATTCTTTAGAATATTTAGAAAAACTGATATTATTACATAGCTTAGTTCTTTGTTGATTGATGCCCTTACCCTTTTGTTGTACTTTTTTAAAGAGCTATATTAATAATAGAAATAACAAAGATTAGTAGTACTAAGTGTATGACTGAAGACAAAAATCTGTGTTTACAAAAGCTAAGTATTATTTCTATGGAACAGTAGTTACTTCTGGTGAAAGGAAAGATTCTGGAACTACTTGCAGCCATTTAATGTGTTTTTTCTTAGGGCTGCTGTCTTTAAAACAGAACTGTGACATCAACTTTGGAATTCTGTCTAATTTGTTGATGCTCTTTTTATTGTTAACATTTCCTCATCATGTTAGCTTTTTCCCTCTGGATGACTAAGAATCTTAATCATCACTAGTCTTAGGTGATTTTTAAGTAAAATCAGTATCCCAGATGCTAATATTCTGGTTTACAGTACGTGCAACATTGTTCAGGATCAATATCCACTATAAAAGTTCTAAGAGTTAATTTAATTACTCAGTTTTTATTCTTCCCTGAATGCAGGAAATGAGTTCTTTTGAACTTTTACATCTGAATTAAGCATGAACAAAACAAATGTGACAATTTTTTATTTGATCATGATACATCTTATTTCCTGCTTTCCTTTAAACAGATGTCTAGAAAATTATGTCAGAAAAAATGGAGGTAAAGATGTTGAACAAATACAGACTGACAAAAAGTCTCATCAGTTCAGTACTGTGGTATATGGTATGAAAATGTAATATGTTAGAATTTTATGTAATAGGAGCTAGTTTATTGCAGAAACTATTAAAAATACACTGATTAAAAGTCCATTATTTAAAAAATATTTATTTTATGTAAACATAAGAAATACCCAAATGAGTGTTTAAAAAAACCCCAGGATTTTAACTAGAAAGGAAAACGAATTTTAAATTAATTTGTACATAACCTGTGTGCCTTGACATAAATACTATGTTAACTTGAAGGGCAGAACTCCAGATTGGCTGGAGTTCAAGGTGAGTCTGCCAAGATCACTATTTTGTATGTTTCCCTATATAACCAAATGGCTTCTCTACTTGAAAAACAAGTTCATTTAAGTAAAAGCAGAAATGGTAAGTGGTTTTGTCTTTTAAAAATAATGTACTGAGAATGTACTAGTTTTTAGAATGCATAGGTATTTATATGTATCTCAAGATGTAACTCCAGATAGGTTGTTTTCCTTTCTACTGCCTTGTAAATGTGCAGCGCAAGCATGCTTCAGTTGTTACAGCCTTTCTGGGTCTGAGTGCTTATGATTACACTTCTTGCTTGACCATTTTTTAAATGAAGTTTGTATGTATAACTCTGTCAAGCTGCAGGGGTGCTAGTAGAAGGTTGGTGTACTTTTGTTTCTCAGTGTCTCTCTCCTTATATTTTCTGCTTTCTTTTATCTCTTGTGGCTTCCTTTCTGCCTTCTTAAATACTGAGTGCTCAAAGTCTCTGTCTTTCTCCCTCTTCCTCTCTCCCTTTTTTGCCCGACTTGCTCCCCATTTTTTTTTTTTTTTGTGAAGGTTTTTAAGCTGTTTTAAAATATTGTAATGTGTGCTTCTGAGAGGCCTTTATTTCTGTATTTCCTGCTTCTGGGGCTCTGAGCAAGCTTTCCCTGAGCCAGATAGATTCCAGCTTCTTCAGCAACTGTGTAAATAAATCTTCATAAAATAGGTCACTTTTGGAAGAAAAATTTAAATATACTCTTAAAATTCAGGAATTAACCAGGGAAGGGATGTGAATCCTCTTTTGAAGGAGAAAGTTTGCTCTTTAAAAACATAAACCTTTTTGGGTTTTGAGAAATGGTTTTCTAAAGCAGGACTGTAACATGTTGTTTCAAGTGTTGAGTAGAGATGCTAGAGAAGACCACCTTACTTTTTTTTTTGTTAGCACTGAAGGAATATAACTTAAATTTTGAAAGTGTTAGTTATTCAGAGAGACAGAAGAGAATGAAGTCTTGGACTTCTGTCCTTGTTGCTTCTTCTACTGATGCCAGTCTCTGTTGTGCAGAGCCCTGAAATGGGTGGAAGGTTAGAAAGGTACTCAGCTGTGCAGCTGATGTTGTTCTAAGGAACTGTGTCCCAGCTCTCATCGGCCATACAAGAGTGTTAGAACTTCTGACCAAAAAACATCCATCCATCTATTTTCAGCCATCCAAAAACCAAATGTCAGAATTTCCATTTTAGTGATGTTATAAGGCAGAACCACTGAATCTGACTTCTTTTTTAAAAGTAATGTAAACCCATTTGAGTATGTGGGTTTTAGATTTAAAAATGGTGGAATTTGAAGAACTTAATGGAAATTAAGCCTGAATGTGCAGTCCTGTTTGCATTGTTTTCTTAATTTGAAGCATCATATCAAGAAATTTCAATCATTATACTGGATAGGAACTAAAAAAATGCTGTTTGCATTCAATAGACCAGACAGAGACTTTTATATTGAATACTCATTGTTTTAACATTCTCTTTTGGAGCAGAAGACAAGATCAGAAAGTCTATTATCCCTCAAAGACAGCTCCAAACCAAAGCATGGTCAGTATGAAGCAGGTACAAAGGAAGAATATAAGCAGCAGCCTCCGAGAATTGCAGAAAAGGAAAAAGACTACCTCCAGTGTCCAGAGAATTCAATAAAGGTAGCTGGCAAAGTAGAAATTACATTTTTAATCAGTAAATGTACATCACTATTTAATTATACTGTTTGGAAAGGTTTGCACATATATGTTATTAATTTCATGTTCGTATTGTAAAGAAATAAAACCATGTAAGTGTGTAATGCTGAGGAGGAAATAAACTGTAGGTAAGTTGTTTCAGTTGTTGCAGAGAAGGAAACTGAAGTGGTCTGAGAATTTATGTATGGCTGTATTCTCTGGTAAAGAAAGTAACACTGGCCTTCCTAGTACACTTCTAGCCTGAGCCTGAAGATTAACATGATTGATAAGGAAGAACCTAAGTCTATAAGAAGAGGAGAGACGGCAGGAAGATCTTGGTGAAATGTTATTTCCAAAACCAGAAATTCATTCAAGCTTTTTTATTTTTTAAATCTAGAAGTACTTTAATTACTGTTCTGTAAATTGGGACTTTAAAAAGGAGAAATGAAAGACTTAGTCTGTTCCTTAGAGAACTATTAACACTGAAAATGCAAAGGGATATGGGGTTAAAATAATGAAATATATTATCCGTACTTCTTGCTTTGATGTGTAAGAGTCAGTACAGTTGGACTGCAAGCTGTACTAATTCTACCAAGTTTCTTTTGTGTTTTCAAATTAAGGTGGAAAGAAGGGTAGATCAGTGAAGAGAAACTGAAAAACAAAGGGATTAAAAACCCCAACTTTCATCTTGTTTGGAAGAGGTAGTGGAGAAGGGTGGTTGAACAGGGAAAGATGCATCATTGTAGGTGTAAGGAAGCAGGAAACCTTAGTAAGCAGCAGCTGTGAGGACTGGTTGAATGCTGGATTCTTCTGAGGGTAGATGACCATTTAAGAATCTTAATGGAAAGGTAAGTATGCAAATGTTGATAGAACATATTGTGCTCATTGCTTTTCAGAGAAAAGGTTTGTGATGAATAACAATGAGTTTACTGACTTTACTTTCTTAGCATTCAGTAGAATGAAAAGGGAAGGTTTTTCAAAAGACAGATTGTTTCATATATTATAGATAGGTCTTTTAAAGCTTTCTCTTCATAGTTGTGCTTCTAGTGATCCAAATAAAGGAGAACCTGAAAAAACCTATTAAAAACATTTTGTGAAGAAGAGGTGAATGAAAAAGAAGTTGAGGTATTTTGTTGTTTAGTTTTATGTTTAGTGGCAGATGAGTTTTTCTGTTCTGGTTCTCTAGTTTTTGTTTTATTGGGTTTTTTTTTGTTTTGTTTTTTTTTTAGGTTTTTTTTTCTGTCCTAGTGATGTCACTCTAATGTACTGGTCTGACACTCATATAATCTGTTTTTCAAGGAATGAAAAACATTATATACACTACTGCAAGCCCATCAAAAGGGTATTTACAGGAGCAGCTAAGTTATCTGAAAATGAAGAAATAGATGGCAAATGTATGCTGGGAGATAAAAAGCAGGACTGGCTTTTTTTTCTCTGGTGACCTTGGGTTCCAGAAAGATACTTGCTAAGCACTAGAAGCACATGTGTTAATTCTTCACTCAGATTTTAATATAATGTCTATCAGAACAACTTTTTTTGTGTTAGGTATTATCACTACCTGAGTAGGTGAAGAAATAAAAATATTTCAATACACTTGTTTTCCTTGATTAGTGGAAGTTGTAACAACTTCTCTTTTCAGTAAAGAAGGTGCTTATGGATGAGATTGCTAAAGCTGTTTCTGTCAAAAATTCCTGTATCTTTTTTTTCATAATGTCCATGTAGGAAATATTTCCATAATACTCTGGGACTGGTTTACAAGTCTGTTAGAACCAGTAGCATGCTTTTGCTTTTCCCTGTCTAGCCTGTATTTAACTTCTTCACTGGCCACAAAGCAGTATCTCTACAGTGAGCTTTGAGCTTTATACCTAACAACAAATCCTCTGCTTCCACTTGGCTGTTCCTGTGCAGAACAGAAAAAGGATGAGTTTTTTTCTTCTCCTCAGAGATGCTAAAGTCTGCTTTCTCTGACTTGCTGCTGTTTTTTCATGAAGCTTGTAGGAACACAGTGTTTTTAAGATTTAAAAATTTATTATTTATTTCAGTATGAATGAAAACTGGTGAGTATTCAAAAGATATAAATCTTGCTCTCTAGTCTTTCCTTCTAAGTTCGGTTTCTGTAGAAAGCTAGGCTTAAAAAATTATCTTTTAATTAGCATGAAGTGGAAGAAGTAGACAATTTAAGGAAGAAAGAACGTAGTACTTTTAAATAAATTGTTGAGAAAAATGTGTGGGTTTTTTAGTTTGTTTTTCTTACAATTCATTAAATTTGAGTTACAAGGATGTATTTTTGTGTAGGGTACACAGCTTGAAGATGGACATGATGATTTTGGAGCCCTTGATAAGAAAGCTCTCCTGCAACAATGCTATAAAAACAAGCCTTATAAGATGCAGCACAACATAAGGAAATCAGAAGCTGTAAGTATTTTGACTGGTGTTATGCTGCTAACCACCTAGATTTGGAGAATGGCTTCCCAGATGTTCAACAGAAATTATGCCTTTGGGGGTTTGGGTCTAGTATGTAATTGCACCCATTGAAATCATGCGAGTTTAAACATTTCTTTCAATGGGAGCTGAATGGAGCAATCCAGTGAGCATTTTCAAAATCTTTTCTGCAGTGCTGGTATTTTATGCAGTAATCTGTATAAATGAGAACACAAATTATGAGTAATATATACAGATACATTCATACAACTAAGAATAACTGAGATAGTTGAGCTAACCTAAACATAATGTTAAATTCAGTGTCAGAAGCTGGACTTTGATAATCCCTGTGGGTCTCTTACAGCTCAGGATATTTCATGATTCTATGGTTTCCTCTGATCTGTAGCTTTTAGCTGAGCCTGTATTCAATGATACATGAATTCAATAATTCCATCAGCTAGTATTAGATTGAGTCAGCAACAGCTTTGGCTGTGTATTCACGCTCTAGGAATGGAGCTTCTACAGTGTCTCTGAGCAACATCTTCATGTGACATGCTATTCTCTGAGTGAGGAAGTTCTTCCTGTTAGCCACACCAATCCTCCCAAGGCCCCATGTGTAACCTTTACTTCCTGTTATACTGTTGGCTTCTGCTAAAAAAGTTTCAGTCTCTTTTCTTTGTAACTTCTCTTCAGAATGCCTCATAGCTGTTGGTTCTGCAAACTAAACAAACCCAAGCTCCCTTAGCCTCTCCTTTCAATTGCTTTTGCTCTGGTCTTTAGTCAGATCCTTTTTGAGGGAAGGAGGGAGCCCTGAAGTCTGGAAACTACCATGAACTCAAGTGACATGCAGAGAGGGGAATTAAAACTTTCCGTACATAGATGTACCAAATATACTTCTTTAATTTATTACATAGACATGAATTTTACCGTTTTTGGGACTGAACAATAGGAGTCTTGCCCATCTGAGGCCAGATCTTGTATTTAGGATCGTTTACAGGGATGAAGAACCTTGATTTGATATTGCATATTTGCAGTATCAGTATTTGCATATGCAGAGTGATGGCTTTTATAACTGGTTTTTGAAGAGATTGCTGAAAAAGGTTATGCATTCTAACTTTCTTGTGGAATAATAAGCCATGAGAAATTTTATGGTTTTTTAAAGTAAATAGTAATTTTAATTAATTTTATTTGCTTGTCACTATGCATTGAATTTTGCATCATTGCAACCATTTGTTTGATTTCTAGTCTTGTTGAAATGAATGCAGATGTTGCTCTACTGAGGTCACTGTTAATTTTCATGACAAGAAAATCTTTTGAGAAAGTACTTAAGCTTTTAATTTTAGAATAAATTAAAAAATCTATACTATCAGCTAAAGATAACGGAAAAAAGTCTTGAAGTATCCCTAGAGTAACTACTTAATGCTAAAGCAGGTATGGTCAAAGCCCTGAGAAAGGGAGCAGTGCAGAACCACAAAACAGAAGATATTCTGTAGCTGCCATGCTTTAAAATAAAGCCAGCACATGTCTGAGCAAAGTGTTACTGAAGCTCTTCAGAACCCTTTTGTTATTCACTCATGGCCAGCACAGGCTGACTCTCTCTCTCTTTTGAGGACCATCTCAGGCTCTCCTAGGTCCAGCTTCTGATAGTGGTAGAATACTGGAAAAAACTGGTTGTAACTGCATGTGTATTAATTCCATTTTGTATGTGTTGCCTCAATTGTTGGCATTTCATTTTATCTACTTGAAAATTTTGCTCAAGAATACACAATGTTAACATGTCCTTTTACTGTAATCATTACCAAAAAGTCAAATGTTTAAGTAGAACTTCTCTTGATTTTTCCGTAATTTAAGATGAAATTTTGCTAGTGGGGTTCTGCAGGGTTCCATCTTAGGCTCTGTGCTCTTCAATATCTTCCTAAGTAATTGGACATAGGACTGGAAGGGATATTGAGTAAGGTCACAGATGCTACAAAAGCTGTAAGGAGCTGCCAATTCCCTTGAAGGCAGGGTGGCCCTGCAGAGAGACCTCAACAAATCAGAGGGCTGGGCAATTACCAACCACATGAAGTTCAACGAGGGAAAGTGCTGAATTTTGTACCTGGGACAGGACAACCTTGGATGTAAGGACGGACTGGGGAATGAGATGCTGGAGAGCAGTACCATGGAAGGGGTCCTGGGAGTCCTGGTCCATGGCAAGTTGAACACAACCCAGCAGTGCCCTGGCAGCCAGGAAGGCCAACCCTGTCCTGGGGAGCAGCAGGCACAGAATCGCCAGCTGGGAAAGGGATGGGATTGTCCTGCTTTGCTCTGCACTGGGGCAGCCTCACCGCAAGTTCTGAGGGCAGGTTTGGGTACCACAATATCAAAAAGACATGAAGCTGTTAGAGAGTGTCCAAAGGAGAGCAACAAAGATGATGAAGGGTCCAGAGGGGAAGCTGTATCAGGAGCAGATGATCTCCTCACTTGTTCTTTTCAGCCTGGAGGAGACTGAGGGGAGACCTCAGTGTGGTCTTCAACATCCTCATGAGGGGAAGAGGAGCAGCAGGTACCAATCTCTTCACTCTCATGACCAATGACAGGACCCAGGCAAATGCCTGAAGTTGTGTCAGGGGAGGTTTAGGTTGGATATCAGGAAAAGGTTATTCACCCAGGGGGTGGTTGAGCACTGGAACAGGCTCCCCAGGGCAGTGGTTACAGCACCAAACCTGACTGTTCAAGAACTGTTGGGACATCTCGGTTCTTGGGTACATGGTGTTATTCAGGGGTGGTCCTGTGTGGTGCCAGGAGTTGGACTCTATGTTCTTTGTAGGTCCTTTCCAGTTCAGCTTGTTCTGTGATTTTGTGATTCACAGCCCATTGCCAATAGATGTCATATATGACCTCTGAAGAAGGTTGGTTTTCTTTCAATGTTAGGGAACAAAAGTAACTACTTTTGCAGTGAGAGCTGCTGCAAATTCAATGTTTGCCTCTGCCCTTTGTATTTTTGTAATTTCATAGTAGAGCTTTTGTCTAAGAGGAGAAAGCAAGATGTTTCATGAAAGATTACATTCAGTGACCTAATATTCAATTGAAATTTAAGGTGTAAGGTTTGGGTCTATAACCCAGGTCCATGGAATAAGTTATAACAAATACTGCTCTAATATCACTGTGTCCTCCTTTAAATCATTCTTTTTAATACATCTGTTGCAACAGTTAATGAGTAAAAAAAATCAATAACTCAGAATAAAGCACCCTGTAGTTCTGATAGATGCAAAAATTCCAGAGTCTTCTAAGGCTTAAAATCAGTTTGGAATAACCAACAGCTGATCTGGTGTTGCATTAGTTATTTGGGTTTTTTTGATTTGGTTTTTTTTTTTCCTTTTTTTTTTCCTGGCTAGTGCCAGTCTGTATTTATTTGAAGATTGTGAATTTTACCCATAGCATCTCTGGAATTAGGAATTATCTCTTATAGGTACCTGGGAACTCTTCAGTTCATCATCCACAAAGGCTAGATCTCTCTAGAATTTGGTTTGCACACAAGACCCATTAGAAAAATATCTTAATTTTTTAGTTTCAGAATAGCTAAAAAAATGTAAGGTTGCATAAACCCCCTCAGTAACAATAACCTCTATTTTCTCGCATATAAAATTAATTTTTTGGAATAAAAAGCAAAAGAAAAGTAAAAAAAAATCAGAAATGTGGAAGATTCAGAGAAGTGCTGAGGCCTGATTATTGCTGGTGCCCTTCATACTATCCTGGGCCATTCTCTTGTGTTTTGGTTTTCTCTCTGTGTAACAGGTTATGATCAATGCTTGCACACTTTACCAGGTTATGGTTCAGTGGCACTCTAATAAAAATAAGATCATGTTAAATCCCCTTTCCTCTTTAGGTTTATACTTCCTGAAAGGTTTTTCTGGTTGACCTGTCTCAGCAGAAAATTATTGTGGCATGCAGGAAAGGAAAATCTTGTACCTGAGTCTAAATCTTAAGAATTTTTTTGACTAAATATTGCTGGAGGTAAAGTTTTATTATCTTAGTTGGAATCTGTGTCACCTGAAATACCTGGAATAATGTGAGTCTCCTCAGGCTCTATTGTACTTGCAGAATGCATTGAAAACAATACAGAAATAAGGATTTTGTCTGTAAACTTAAATACTAGAATTCTCATATTTGTTACAATTAATACGCATAGACAAATTGAGTGTGTATCAGAGAATATTATATGTCAATTTTTATGCAAAGAGACTATTAAAATGTAAAAATTAGAAATTGTGGCATGGGTAAGTTTGTGACCTCTGAATGCTGTTTTACAGGGTAAACTATTATTTGAAGTGCTTGCTATTATATATTTCACTTGTTCTCAGCCAGTTTTTCGTTGCAGGAGGATGTTGCTGCAGAGAGGAGGAAACAGGCTGTTGTAGAACAAGTTATGGTGGATCAATTGTGTAGGTAAATGAATTTATAATGTAAAATTTCCATTTTTCCCTACAGAGGAATTTAGATCCTTTTAGTGTTTGGCTTTTCTTGCTTAAGAGTTGTTTTGATCATCTTGTTCCAAGTCTTATGAAGTCTTATGTAATAGTATTATTTGCAAAAATTCTTTAAGAGAAAGACTTTTTAATGCAACTTAAAATATCAGTTTAAAGTGCCATGTGTATGGTTTTTTTTTGTGGATATAATTCCTAATTTTATACTTGAGCCTATTTTAAGGTCTTTACAATAGCACTAACTTTTGAAAATAACCCTCTTGCACCTCAAGAAAATATATGGATGCCTGATCTTATTTATAGCATCTCCTCAATGTTTCTCGTTCATTCTAGAAATTTTAGCTTTATTAATATTTATTAATCCTTTATTAATACTGAAACAGCACCTCTCAGGCATAAAGGAGTGTTATACCAATGCTGGTATAATACTATTATATGGCACTATTACAAATTGAGTTGGTCCAGGTTGTGCAGTAAGATCTCCTGCCTTCATTGCTCTCCCTTTAACCTTGCTTCTGTGCAGAAGGATCCCTCTATTTTAAGCATGCTTTAATAATTCAGGGCTTTATGCAAGCTGTCTGGTTATGACAATATAAGAATATGCAAGCTAGTTTAATATAGTTTCACGTTACTTTATACTTACAAAAAATTATCTGTGGGTATGTCTAGATTATTTTGCATTCTGTGCATAATTTACAATTTCTGGAGTCATCTGTGTTGGTGTTTTGGCCCATCAAATCCTAAGATTTTGAGGTTGAAATGTTGTTGCACTGCACCATTTTAGTGTTTGTTTCTGTTACAATGGCAGTTTAAATGACCTATATTGTTTAAAAGTCTATTAACACTTTTACACTGTTTAAAAGCTGACATGACAAGAGGGTTGCCTGAGGGAAACAAGACTCTCATGAAACATAATGTTAAATTCCAGTTTTAGTCCTCATTTAGCAGGATTAAAATTATGGAACTATACAGGGTTGAAGTCCCCCAGTTTTCAGATAAGTGCCTGGCTTGTGTCATATCCCTTTAAAGATTATTACAGAGGTGATCTTAAATACACTGGTTATGTTGAAGTGCATCAGTACTACAGATGTTGTATTAAATGTACAGCTTTGTGCATCTTGGATCATGGATGCCCATTCTGTGTTTTTCATCCTTCTGCTGCTTTGCCTTATTTTTTCCATATATTCCTTCTCCTACTCTGAACCCTTCTGTTGATAATGTTGAAACAATATTCAGTAGTGCTGCAGCTGCATCAGGATGAAGTTTTAATTTAAAAAAATCTCTCTGTGTGTGTTTCAAATATAACTCTGCCAGTACTTCTAAACAAATTGGTATCAGATATCAGGATGTTAATCAGAAGAGATTAGTTCAAAACTGTTGCAAAAAAGCTATTTAAGGAAATACAAAGGTATTTTGAATATTTTTTAGTAGAGCAAATCTTGCAGTTAAATCAGTGTAACTGATGTGTACAAAGATGTATCTGCATAGATCAGAGAGCAAGTTTAGAAAACTGTAATAGCCATGAACAATTATTTTTTCCCTTGTGATAACCATTTCAATAGCATAACAAGCATCGCATTTGTTTTTAAATGTTCTCTTGTTTACTTGTTGAATTGATACAGAGACTATCAAAATGTTCAAAACCCAGTTAATCTGTTTCTTTTCTGCTTTGAGATCCTCTCCCCTCTCAAAGTGAGCACTTTGAGAGAGGAAGTGCCAATGTTTTTGTTGGATGACAGATTGGATGGGGCTCTGAGCAACCTGGTCTAGTGAAGGTGTCCTGCCCACAGCATGGGGGTTAGAACTAGATGATCTTTAAGGTCCCTTCCAACCTAGGCTACTCTGTGATTCTGAGGAGATGTCACTGGCTAGTGCTAATAACTGCTGTCATTGATATTGGAGGGAGCTGTGGTTAAAGAATATCACTGATGGAATATTTACAGAAATAGTAGAAATTATGAAAAACGCTACAAGCCTTCATAATACTAAGATTTAAATAATATGTATCTGCATGTAACATTACTACATAGCAGTGCACTGCCAGAATATTATTTTATATGTTTGATTTTGAGAAATAGACTTCAGAATTTGTAAAAATAAACAAAAAATTAGGCCCACAAATTTATGAAAGCTTAATGGACAACTCTAAGATTGTATTACTGTATTATTCCTGGGTGTTTTCTTTCCTACATAAAAATATGTAAGACCTGAAATCCAGCCATGCTAACAGTTAGAGGGCTTCTTGCTCTTTGTGGTCAGAGCTGTTATAAGTGATCCAGAGCAGTCCACACGTTCTGATGCTTGCAAGGAAGCTCAAGGACTTCTGGAGGCTGGGATGGCACCAATGCATTGTAGAAAAAGGACACTCCATGAAACAAAGTAAGTTTCTAAAAATAATTTTTCTGCTGTATATTTTTTTTTTAGCTCTGTGAATTGTTTGCTTTTCCAGATGTTCTGTTTTTGGCTTGGATCCACCAGCTTCCTGTGATTGTTACTGCCTAGTGAAATAAAAGGGACCTTTTTATGTGAATTCTCTGTGTATTATGATTGATTCAAATTTATAAAAACTGGGAGAACGCTGTTAGGATTATGTTGATGTTATTCATCACAAGAATTTGCCAGCCTTTTCCAAGTGGTTGGATGCTTGCAATCCTTTTAGAGATTCATATCCTTAGGTGCATAAATTGCATAAATATGCATCTGTAAATGCTAATGTAGATCTTCACAATAATCATACTTTTCTTTCATGTTTGATTTCTGCTGCAATAATTAAGCCTATTGGCATTTAAATGACATTCCTGGACTGTCAGCATTGAATTATTTGCTCCAAGGACTTAAGAAAACCTGAGGAAACACTGTGATCCATAAAACTAAATGAATCTGCAGGTCTGAGTTTTGTTTTTTTCTAAACATCCAGGCTTTGTGCATTTTAACATCCCACTCTAATGTCATCTTTGTATTCTTAAAAAAAGGAAAATAAGACAGCAAAACCAGTCTCAATTTCTTACATCCATCACATAGACAAATCTCCATTTCTGGAACTAGTAATAGGGGCAATATAAAATATTTATGTGGATAAAAATGCCCCAACCGGGGTATTTTTGCAAGAGAATGAATTGGTTCATGGACGTGTGGGGAGTAGTAGAGGTGAAGGTTAATTCTTTATGTAAGTGTATGTAAACAAAATTTCCCATTCATATCTATGTCCTCTGTGAATGTACTCTCATATTATATAATAACAGAACACTTTACAGCCCAGAGTTGCTTTCTAATTCAACTACAAAGGATCATCTCCTCAGCCAGTTGCCAAGGATACTGTGTTTCATGGTTTTTGCTGTTTGAAAATGGTTGAGTTTTATGTAACGCTTATCTGGGCAGTTATAGGTATCATTAACATGCTGCATTATTTTCACAGAATAAGGGCCAAATCAGGACTAACTGAGAGCATGCTCTCCAACAAGCTGCGCTTTGATAGTAGGATTATATCGAGGTAACCACAAATCTTGTGAAGCTTTTCAATGCTCTGAATTTGTGTATGAGGACTACTTTCTTGACCTGATTAATTGCACTGAATGTTTCTGCTTCCCTATGTGAAGAACACCCACGTGTACTACACATGTGGGTGTCTGTGTGTAGTACAAATTTTGATGTGGCTAATGGATAGTGGCCTAACAGTCCCATTGTACAATGTTGAGTTCTGTAAGCAATATTATGTTACCATCATACCCATAGCTCTATTCAGGACAGTTACCACAGGGGCTGTGTAAAATAGAACTTTTAGCTCAGTTTAATCATCTCAGTTGATTAAAATTATTTTAGCCTTATCTTAGATGTGGCTACTACTATAAGTAGTAATGGCTTTGCAACTTGTTCATAGCTCCTTACGTATTAAATTTTAGATCATCTTTCAAACTGTTCTGATTTGAGTAGTGGTAGCATAAACGTATTTTTTCAGTTTTGAAAGTGATGCTTTTCTGCAGCTGTGAGCTGTATACTTGTTAGACACAGCTGAAAATTCAGCAACATACTTTAATATACCTCAATGAATGCAGTAGTCCTGGTGTATGTAATCCTTTAGTCAATCAGTGAAAATTATATTGGCATACTAAAACATGAAGCCTTGAGAGGTGTTTTTAGCATTATGGAGAATAGAATATTGAATTAAAATACGTGACTGAATCCACATATTGAATTTCATGGTGAGTTAGAGAAAATAGTCAAGGAGCTCTTTAAAAAAATAAATTGTACACCATGCATCATTGGAAATAAAATGGATACTGAGAGCAGCCTGAGGAGAAGAACTTGGTGGTGCTGGTGGATGAGAAGCTCATCATGATCTGGCAGTGTGCCCTTGCACCCAGGAAACCAGCCATGTCCTAGGCTGCACCAAAAGAAACACAGCCAGCAGGTTGAAGGAGCGGATTTGCCACTCTGCTTCTCTCCTGTCAGACCCCACCTGCAGTGCTGTCCACCTCTGGGGTCCCCAGCATGAGAAGGGCCCATTGGAGTGACCCACAGGAAGGTCACAAAGATAATCAGAGGGATGGAGCACCTCTCTTAGGAAGATAGGTTGAGAGAGTTGAATTGTCCCTTCCAGGAGAAGGGAAGGCTCCAGGGAGACCCTCTATTCTAGACATTCTAGTGCCTACAGGAGGCTGCAGGAAAGTTGAGAGGGTAGTTGTTTAAAGGGTGTGTAGTAATAGACAAAAGGGAATGGCTTCAAACTAAAAGCAGGCAGGTTTAGATTAGATATTAGGAAGAAATTCTTTACTGTGAGGGTGGTGAGGCACTGGAACAAGTTGCACAGAGAAGCTGTGGATGCCCCATGCCTGCAAGCATTCAAGGCCAGACTGGATGGAGCTCTGAGCAGAGTGGCCTAGTGAAAGGTGTCCCCGCCCATGCCAAGGGTTTTGGAACTAAGTGATTTTTAAGGTCCCTTCCAACTCAAGCCATTCTGATTCCAAAATAAATGTTACTTATGTTTGGGTTGAATTGGATTTATATGGATGAAAAACAAGAGTGCTTTTCAATTTTCCTTCTAGAAATGGTCATGATGCTTGTAGGGAGTTGATTGGATTTTTTTTTGCCTGTGACAAATCCCTTACTGTGTATGAATTTCGACAGTTTGGAAAAAACAGGTAGGACTAATTACTTTTTCAAAAGGTTTAAGGAAATATTTCACTGTATCCAAGAAGCTTAAATGAGTATAAGTATTTTAGTACCAGTTTTGAATTATTTCACAGGACAAATGCCTTGCCTTTCATTCAGAAGGGAGTTTATCAACATCAACGTGGTCAAAGAAAGGGAAAATCTTATGATCTTAGTGACTTCTATGTTGTAAGTATTCTTCTGATGAATGTAATACTATTTTTTTGGAGATAATATTTGGATATTTGAATTGTAAATTGTTAACTAGCCTTCTGGGAAGACCAGAAGTCTTACCTTTAAGTGACATTTTTGAATTACAGATTTTCAGAGGTTCTGGATTGTTTTGTTGTCCCATGTTTTAGGGGTTCCCAATTTGTTTCCGATTAAGCTGTACTTTGCACTTCTCCCCCTAGAGGGCACAACACTGCTGACAAAGTGGAGCTTTTTTTGGACGTAGTGATCCAATAGGGAAGGAGAGTCCTAAAGAAGACCCAAGTTGAAAGTAAATAATCTTTGCAAGGTCTGCTGGCATTTTTAACTCGAAGCAATGATTAAATATTTTTAAACATGAAGAAATTGCAGGTTAATTGTTTTTAAACTACAATTTGAAATGTAAATGACCAGTTTTTTTGAGCAAGTGTATGAAGCAATGTTAAGCGTTGTCTACCAGCTAATCTGATGACTGATAAAAATCATATTGCACCTTCTGTACTGCTGTAGTTCTGTACCAGATAAAGTGTTCATGGTTTATAAATACTTGAGCAAGTTTTCAATTACAGACTATTTTCACCAAATTCTTCAAATGCTCCTGCAAATCCGAAGTTTAGAGGAAAAATTATGTTTGTGAAAAATGTAGAAAGTAAAAGATGTCAACATTAGTTTTTAATGTGTTTTGTCTAATCACATGCCTATCCTAACTGCTTACACAACCATCTAACAGTTTTGAAGATTAAATAGATGAGTTTATGATATGGAAGATAAAGCAACTTATTGGAATTTTCATATTTTATTATCACGTGTATATTTGCAGCCTGCAGATGGAAATGTGTTCTAACTAAAGATTCATCATAAAGTCATCCAGAAAATGTACTGCACGGAGTTCAGTACCTCTTTGGAATGATGCTGTGTCTGTGAATCTCCATACCTGCAATCATGCTTTCTGTGCTGACACTAAGACGTGCAGATCTCTCACAAAGTCCAAGTGGTTGAGACCCTTGTAGTGTCTCTGTCTCCTTCTTCCAAATTCATGAGTTTTGGAGACTTTATAAACCAAGCCTGCTCAGATATTACAGTTAGAGTAGCTGTATTTTTTTATTCTTCTCAGCATTCTTTGCTTTTAGTTTGCTGCTTTTCTTTATTTCCCCTTCCCCTCTATTTATGAAATACACAACCTATTTTTAAATCATTGTGTGCTTTACCAACAGGGAGCCAATCTGACTTTCCAAAGTGCTGATCATAACCTTCCAGAAAGTGTTAAGCAGAACCCTTTCTTCACCCTTTGTGTGATAAGTATTGATGAAGCAGCTATAGATTATCTGAAGTAAGTGCTGCTGACTTCTTTTCAAATTACCTTTCGTTCCTTAAGCAAAAAAAAAAAAAAAAAAAAAATAGCTCCTAGTACCTTATTACTTACACTATTTACACTGTTGTTAGGAGAAATTAGTAATAGATGTTAGAAAATTTTGCATAGTTCAGTGACTTCCTAGAATAGTAAGAAGTAATTTTAAAGAAAGAATTGAAATGTGATGCTGTTCTTTTTCTTTGGTTGAGGTCACATGTTTTTATATACAAATCATATATCTCCTCTGTTTCAGTTTGTGCACATTGCCTCTTGTCAACAGGCACCACTGAGCAAAGCCTGTCTCAGTCTTCTTTACTCCTTTCTGTCAGGTATTCATACGTATTCGAGGGTAAGATCCCTCAAGGCTTCTATTCTCCAGGCTAAACAGTTCCAGCTCTCCCAGGCTCTCCTCATGTATCTTATACTTTGAGCCCTTCCTGGTTAGGAAAAGAATCATTTTAATCTCAATTAAATATGTTCAGTATCTAAAGACTACTTTGTTAGCAGAACTTGACTGTTATTTTCTTTCTGCAAGTGTTTAGACACAGGAAGCTTGTTCTTAGATATAGTAATATTCACTTAAAGTCCCTTTAGACTGAAAGCTTTGCAAAGGAACCATAGTAAGCTAACAGTGCGTAGAACAGTAAATTCAAATTTAATTGGTTCTAGAACTGTGTAGTTGTATGATGCTCAGTGCTAATTTTTCCCTCTCGGCAAGGTTTCAGTGAAATAAAACGCAATGTAGTTTAATTTCAACTAGTTGATGTAAGACATTTTACATCTCAGAAGCCTATCATTCAAATAAAGCAGCTTTTTCTTTCATTTGTGGCTAATCTTATACCTGTGAAATTTTGATTTGAACCAATGTTATCTCTGAATAGAAAAACCATAAAGAAGAGCTGCTCAATGGGTTGTAATTTTGGATTTTTTTGCTACCTCTGGTGGAATAGATAATTTCCTTTTTTATACTCTCTGTATTCTTTCCATTACTGACTAAGTTTCAGTCTATATTTTTCTTATGTATGAGGATGTTATTGAGCTCTCTATTCTCTGGTGCATAACTCTTGAATCCTCTTACCTTCAGAAAATCCTGTTCAGCTACAGTCCAATAGGTCTACTGCAGGTTCCCAGGAGCAGCTATGCTCTCCTGTCACAAGCCGTGAATCTTTTGGTTTACGTATGTTCTAGAGGGAGTACGTTGTCCTCTGCAGGTGGCTGTTGACTTTGCATTTAGGTGATCTGATGTAGGTAAGCTTTTAGGGAATTCATAATGGAAGGTATGCAAAGCAGAGATGAAAAGTCCTACTAGACAGCAGAGAGATAAACCTTTGACCTCAGAAAGCAGGAGCAGGAGTATATCATGGCAAAACACTGGTGAGCAAGCAGCTCATAGTTGACAGTAATAATTTTCCATTTTTTAAAGTATTCTGATTAAAATAATTGTAGGACTTTGTTGGTTCGGTTTGGCTTTTTATCCTCCAGTAGGTTCTTCCACAATATTTTTTTATCAACCTTTATAGTAATTTCTGATGGCTTGTGGGAAGCCCTTCTTAGAAGGGAACTTAGCAGAAAAAACTTCACAAAGTTTAATCATAATTTCGAGATATAATTTTGGTCTACACATTTGCTATTTGTGTTCTAAAGAGAGATTTGAAAAGTATTTAATGTTATTTTCCTGTTGGTGATTAAATGTGGTTGCTTTAACAAACTCTTCCAGTGGTATGAGATTAGGATTGAACTAAACTTCAGGAGATTTTATGCATGGGAGGAATTATCCATGGTTAATGAGTTAGTAGAGGACATTTCAGTTAATTTTGTTAAAAAAAATTCTGTGTATGTGCAGCTGGTCAGCAAGGACTTCTGTGAGTGCCCTCTCAAACTCAAGCAAATGGATATTGTGTTTATAAGGGTAGCATATTAAATATAAATTAAATATAAAGTTAAGTATGTTGGGATTTTTTGCTACATCTGTTTTGAATATAGTCATATTACATGTAATTTTACCAATCAACATTAATTTTGACTTCTTTAGAGCTTCTTCTTTGGAACTCAAGGAAGAGTGTTCCAGGCAAGTGGTTGATGACAGCAAAGTTTTCAAGAAGATTCAAGGTTTGTATCTACCAACACCCATTCAGTTTTAGTTTCTCTATCTTTACAGCTCAGGGCAATGAAAAATAGTGATGTAATGAAGATTTTATTTGTGTAACTGAAATTAAAAGAAAGATATTTATCAGAATATTATTTGAATATGATACTAACACAAATCAGTCATAAGAAAGCTTTCTCATGTCTCTTCAAATAAAGTCTGGGTAAAGATTGTGCAGAATGTACAGAGTAGTTACGAATATAAGCAGTAAAATATTAATCTCTGTGTTGACATAATTGTTGAATAAATTTTGAAACATAATGCTGATGCTATGTTATACTGGCATTAAATTTGTTATTGGCCAAGTGTAGAAACCATCTCATTTCTTCCAGTAATTTTGTGTTAGATACTACTTTTGGCCACTGTTTCTATACATTGGTAATTTGAATTTGATATTCTCTATTATGATTTTTAAAAATCATGAGTATAATTGTGTACTGTACTCTGGAATATGTAAATAAACTCTACCATATTCCTATTTAAAGTCTTTAGGACAAAGGCATAGCTTTTTGTTGAAGTTTGAAGGATATTTGTACAGTGTTGTGCATTATTTTTATAACCTTGTTAACAAAAATGGTTGACCTCAGCACCCCACAGCTCGTATAATCTCCTCTGTTTACTGTCATTAACTAAACCTGCTTAAGTAGGCACTCTTTGGTCACTAGAATCTGCTTGGACATTTATTTTCCCCAAAAAAGTTAGAATAATAATGGTTATTTTTTATTCTTCTAGTTATTCCATTTTTCCCCATACATAATAGACACGAGCTGACTTTTCTGTTATCCGACTGCATCTAAGGTTTGCTGGTGTGGCCTGGTAGAATGTTGTGTGTGTACTTCAAGGCACCTTTTAATAGACACCTGAGTTTCAGCATCACTGGAAAAAACTTCCTTCTTTCACCTTGCCCCTATTTTTCTTTAAAATTGCAGATACAAGTAATTTGTAGGTAATAGCATGTGACTTCTGTTAATAGAGTATGCTGAGAAACTCAGACATTCCTAAGTGAATATGCTAGCTGAAGTATTTCATAAGTCTTGCCATAGAAATTGTGTAAAATCATTTGGGAATGATTTTGCCAAATTACTCATGTTTGTTCTTGTTACCACCTATACGTAACAAGTTTGTAGAATAAAGAAGCAACTTTGTCTCATAATATAATTTTTATATTGTTCTGAAGTAGTTGTTCCAAAGTTACTTTATATATTAAATCATGGCATGTAATCCAATCTCACAGAAGTAGGCAGTTTTAGTCTGAACATATTGAGGACAACAGCCATTCTTTCTTTTCTTATGTGGTCTCTTTGAAAAAAGTTTGTTAGATATTGCTTGCTAGACATACTTTATATGATTTTCACTCAAATGTTAAATAATGGATGGTTTCCTTTTGGAGTGGCATTTTTTTATCAAAGTCGAGGGAGCCTGAATGCCAAGGGTATGTCTTTCTAACCAGCACCATCATATGTAGACATGGTGTTCTTTACTTCTATATTGTCTTCATAGCAAGTGGACAGCTTCAGGTAAATGTTGTGTTTATTTCTCTAAATCCTCAGGTATATTCAGAGAAACATTAAGTAAAAGAGGAGTTCGGGTTATAACAGGCTTAGGAAAGTATTTCCGACAAATAGACAAGAACAGAGATGGTTTTGTCTCTCAGGCAGCCTTGAAAGAAGCTCTAAAAGTATTCCATTTGGAAATGCCTGAAGAGGTGAGTCAAGCTGAAATTGTAAATGTGGGTATTATAATTTTTAATTTACGAAATTGCTTCTTTTCTTTGCTGAAATCTATAGTTTAATACCTGGGTTGTGCAAGTTTTCTTTTGGTATTTTTTTTCCCTTATGGTATGTTAGCATTCCTATACTCAATTCTATGTGAAGTTCTTAAAAATAAAAAAGTATTTTAAAATATGGAGTCTTTTTTTATATCATGACATGAGGAAGCAAGTGTGATTGCAACCCATTTTTTCTCTTTAGGCTTAAAAAATAATTTTGTTTATGCTCCTTACTTAGGTTTTTTCTTTGTTTTTATATATTATGTTGTAAAAGTAGCTCCCAGCTATCAACACTGTGAATAATGTGTATTATGGTCACCAGTGACATGCGTTATTGTTACAAATCTTTCAGTGAGTTTAAATCTAGATGTCTGGGGGGGTTTGTGAGAATACTGTAATTTCCCATTATAGCAATTGTTCTGTTTCAGGATATAGTGAACAACTTTGACAAAATATGTTTAAATTTCAGGACTTTGAATCCTTGTGGCTCATTCTTGATGATAGCAAGAATGATAAGGTTGACTATGGAGAATTTACTCATGCCATATTTGGAGAAATGAATGAATATAGGAAAACATTTGTAAGAAAAGTAAGTTTTATTGCAGATATTTTGAGTGTAAATATTTCTCAGTCTAACTTTGGAGTTAGTCACTCATCGTATTCTAGTTGTTGGGTTTTGTTGTTATTTTTTCTTAAGTTCTGTACCTGGAAATTTACTTCTTGACGTTTCAGATCAGTTTATCTACAGAAAGGTAAATTAGTGGATAGTATACTCTTCCATTGTTAAATTAACTAATTTTAAATTCTAGAATTCATTCCTTTATTATTTATTATTGAGTTTTCATGTATATGTGCTGTTCTGGTAGTTCAGTCCTGTGTATAAAGTGTCTGGCACCCTGAGATGATCTCTTCCAGAAGTCTGTTTCCTTATTTTGGCAAATGACAAATTGTGGCAAATCTGCATGTGTAGACTTTGTTCCCACAGTGCCTGAAACAGGAGGCAGTCATACCTGTCTCCTTTGAGACCAACAGTAAGAGTCATTATATTTGTGAGACATGTTATATGTGTAATGCCACTTGTTATTTGTCTGTAATGTAATGTGGAGCTGTTTGCAGTTTCAGACACTGATCACAAACCAGACAAAGGAGTAACAACTGGATATCAAGATCAAGAAAAATGACCTATACTTTCAGGCTTTCAATCATGCCTGATTGAGGAGGATCCAGGAGGATCCGACTCTCCTGGCCTTACATACCAAGCATGTGTATTTGAGTAAACTGTAATGCAAATGAAGCTGCTGCTAGCAGTGCTGCAGAGGCTGTGTGGAGGCTTCTGTCAGAATGATGTGGAATCTTAATAATTGGAGGAGGCAGAAGGGAAGCAGCTAAATTTCTGATTCTAAGGATGAGCTAGAAATTAGGGAGAGAAGACAATTTTTTTTTTTGTTGACCAGGGGACACACATTTGATGTGAAAACTGTTGAGGTAAAATAATCATGAAACTGTATAATCTAGAATGAATTTCTAGTATCTGGTGCCTTACATAAAGTAGGTAAATTGACAGAATCAATTGCACAAAAAGCAAATGTATGTACTAAAAGTATGTTTAAAAGTATGTACTAGATAGTTAAGTGTATTTGATAATTTCATCTTTCCACATTTTTTTGGAAATATAAGCCTGAGATGCTTATATGAAACTCTTCTTTTTCCTCTTTAGGCTTATATGAAACTAGATTTCAACAAAACTGGGAGCGTGCCTTTGGTAGATGTCAGAAAATGTTACTGTGCAAAGGAACATCCTCTAGCATTGGCAGGTAATTCGTGTGAACAAACAAAAATCTGTAACTATGGAAATCATCTTGTTAGCAGAGATAGCAGATCCAGAAACTGGTTGTAAATACAAACTGTTTTCATATTTACTTAGATTTGAGCTGTTAAAGGGAACTTTCTTCATCTGAGGAAATAAAATGAGTCTCTTGGAACATGACTATAAGTAGTAATGGAGTTCATATACACAATTTTAATACTTGCCCCTTTGTCAGGCTGCTAATACTGCCCAAATGTGGAGCAGTTCTTTTCCCTACCTCTGTAAGCAGTTATTTTGCAGCTTTCAGCTGTAAGTTATCAGTGGCAAATATGATATTAATAATTTTCACTTAGTAGGGTACTCATTGTCACATTGCTGTTTTCCATCAAAATATGTAAGGATTCCAACTGACACAGAATGTAGTCAGCACTTGAATAATTTATTCAGAAGGAACTTTATTTCTGGGACTGGTTTGTCATCCTATAGAGAGGAATTCTGGTTTCTTCATTATTTTTTCAGGATTCTCAAAAATGTTTAAAGTATGCCATTGAAAAAAATAGAAATTTAAATATTTGCATGTCAGTTTTAGAAAACAATACCTCAGTGTACCAAACTAGTCATTGTGAAAGTCTCCATGATGTCATGACCCTTTCTTACCTGTAGGAGATGGGTTTTTCTTTATATTACCAGTGATTTTAATGGTAACAAATGAAGTCACATGGGGGTACAGGGATACAATATGTGGGTTTTTTTCCCAATGCTGTAATGCCATATTTTTTGTACTTTTTTCCTCAATGACATCATCTTGACTATTATCTTTATAAAATTGCTAGGACAAAGATGTAAATTGCAGAACACTTTTCAGATGCCAATTTGCTTCTTAAAGTTTTCCTAGAACTTTGAAGCTCTATTACAGTAAATATACACTTTCTTACAAGATAACTTCAGAATTTTAAATGCATTATTTGGCTTTTGCAGTCATTTGAAGAAAAAATATTCCTGTTATAATTCATTGCAATTGGCTGACCTCGTGTCTTCTGTTGATACTTAATTCTATCATGCTATTAAAGTAAGGTAATTTCTACAGGTGGTAATATGTGAGCCAATGACTTAATTCTGAAATCATAATATTGAATTTGTTCATGAAAACAATATTTGCAAGCTAAAATTTGAAAGTTTCTTTCCTGAAGTAAATTAAATGCTACATATTCACTCTTCTTTAAAATGCATTTAATAGAAAAATATACTTTCACAGGCAAAACTGCAGAAGAAGAAATTAAATCATCATTTCTAGAAGCATTAGGAGAGTCCTGCAGCAACCCCAATGAAATGTCCTATTCTGAGTTTGAAGATTACTATGAAGGATTAAGTTTTGGAATTGTGTGTGATGATGATTTTGTTAATATCTTAAAGAATTCATGGGGAATTTAGAGTGGAAGATGACAAAAAAGAAGGGACACTTTCTAAACAAGGAGTGACTAAGAGAGGATTTAATCTTGATGTGCATTACTTTATAATTAGTGTCTTAAATTGATTTCAGGGACAGAAAACTTTAGATGCTTTCAGAATAATACATGGCAAATTTCATGGAGTGTCTGTTGGGTTATGCTAGCCACTCTTTTAATAAAAATGCTGTTCATGTCTTTTCACTGGAAATTATTAAAGCTGTATCCCACACAAAAAGCCATTTTTTTAATATTAAAATAAAGTCACCTATTTTAAAATAAGAGCGAATTAGAATACTGAAATGCCTGAAGGGGTATGTACAAGAGAAAATTTTGGTTTATGATGCATTGTGAAAAGCTTCAGATTTGACTGCATAAATGTGAATAATAGCTTTCCTTAAGAAATTTTCTTTTAACATTCTTCATCTTGCTTATTTTTTCTTATGCTGGTACTTAGCTTGAAAGAGAGCAGGTCATCCTTTTCCAATTTTGAGGATGTCTGGTGCACTGAAAGTGCAGAGATGTTCACAGCACTTAGCCCCTTGCCTCATGCACCCTCTTGACTGATCTTGCTTGGTCATTTTGATCCGGCATCCGAAGCTGAGCTTTGAAGCTCAAAGGCTTTAGTAATCACACGTGTATATTGTAATGCATATCTTCCTTTCCTGTATTTTGTGAAATGGTTTTAAAAACAAATAATTTATATTTAAATATCTATTTTCTTTATAATGCTTGGATTTTTTAGCTAAAACATAAGAATTATGTATTTTGTCAAACTGATATATAGCATTTCCTATCTATTCTGAAAGTATAAAACAGAAAAGTATTTTAAAAAAGCCCAAAATAACCACCTCTTCCACCACAAAAATTAAATTATAAGTTAAAATATTCTTCGCTATTTCAAATGTTCTGACAGGTACACTTTTCAATATAATACATCTTGCTAATTCTGTAAAATTCTTTGTGTTAAGAAGTAAAAATGCGCAGTTAATGAGAGAGACTTTGATTTTCATACACCTGTCTCTGAAATGAACTGTATGCTGAACTGCATTTCTTAAGCCTGTGCAATTAAAATATATAACTTTCCTCTAAGCTTGTCTGCCTGGTTTTGAATTTATAGTCTGTTGTTAAAACAATCTTCCTCTGAGACAGAATTTGTGTTTCATAGGAATTAAAGGGCAGTGCTGGAATGAATGCTGAAAGGAGGCACTTTGGTCCCCTGTGGCTGACTAGCATAGTCTAGATGTAGTACTTCCTTGTTCTAATAACTTGTGTGGTTTTATGTCTGGAATGTTTGACCGTAGCCTCAAATGTAACAAGTATTGGAGGTTCTATTCTAAATCCTCAAATGAGGGATCTTGGGGGGTTCTTTTGGGGCTGCAAAAGTCTGTATGTATTTTTTTACAGGGAAAACCAGATTTTGTCAATGTGTATTCTAAGCAAGAATTCTGACTTATTATGATTTTTATGTTCCCCATTCTGCTGGGATTTCTCTTGCTGGAAAGGTTTTGTTAATTAGTGTTCTTGGAACTGCTGATTCTGAGAAGGGCAGGTAATTCTGAAGAGGGGAACTTTAGCTGATTGTAGAGGGATCTGCTTGTTAATGTGTCCATTCAAATTGCTGAAAAAATATCAAGTCGCATTTTTGTTAGTTTATAAAGAATCACATGCTCTATTTAGACTTTTTCACTTAGGAGAATTGTACCAACAGATAAAACTGTAGCTCAATTTAATGAATGAAAGTGATTGTGAAATGAGGTATTGACATATTTCTTTATGCAATGTTTACTTTTATTGTGAAGCTTTTAGGAAAAGTGTTCCACATTTTCCTATGGAATGGAAAAATTCAAGACAAATAGATGTATACTAAGTGGATCTGCTTGTCAGAAGAAGCTGTATATGTCATATCTACTGCAGATTTATTTTGTTATTATCATGGAAATGAGGTCCTGTTACAAGAACATAGCTTTGGTAGCCCTGTGTTGTTTTCTTTATCTGAAGAAATATCCCTAACAGGATAATCTAAGATAAATTCTAAAGGTCAAAATTTTCTTGAAAATGAAAGCAGTACTGTGGTAATTATGTGAAACATGCTAGCTGTGTAATTTCTATTAACTACAAGGTCATTGACACAGGTTCTGCTTGACCAACTTGATCTCCTTTTATGATCAAGTGACCTGCCTAAAGGATGAGGGAAAGGCTTTGGGAGTTGTCTACCTGGACTTCAGTAAAGTCTTTGACGCCATTTCCCACAGCATTCCCCTGGAGCGACTGGCTGCTTGGACAGGTGCACTGTTTGCTAGGTGAAAAAACTGGCTGGGTCCAAGAGGGTGGTGGTGAATGGAGCTACATCCAGCTGGTGACTGGTCACTGGTGGTTTTCCCTGGGGCTCAGTAGTGGGAATAGTCCTGTTTAATACTTTTATTGATGATCTGTATGAGAGAATCGCGTGCCTCCTTAGTAAGTGTGCAGACTGCGTGGGAGTATCAAGCCACTGGAGGATAGGAAGGCTCTGCAGAGGGATCTGGGCTGGATCAATAGGCTGTGGCAAATTGTGTGAGGTCCTACACTTGGGCAACAAGGCCGAATGCCAGGTCCTGCTCTTGGATTGCAACAACTCCATGCAGCACTACAGCCTGGGGACAGAGTGGCTGGAAAGTGGCCTGGTGGAAAAGGGCCTGGGGGTGCTGGTTGGCAGCAATCAAACATGAACCAGCCTGTGCCCACGTGGAAAAGAAGGCAAATGGCATTCCTGGCCTGTACCAGCAATAGTGTGGCCAGCAGGAGCAGAGCAGTGACTGTTCCCCTGTACTGGGCACTGGTGAGGTCGCAGCTCACCCATTCTGGGCCCCTCACTACAAGAAGGAGCTGGAGTGTGTCCAGAGATGAACAACAGTGCTGGTGAAGGGCCTAAAGAATAAGTGATATGAGGGGCAGCTGAGGGAGCTGGGGTTGTTTAGCCTGGAGAAAAGGAAGCTCAGAAGAGACCTTATCACTCTCTATAACCACCTGAAAGGAGGCTGTAACCAGGTGGGGGTTGGCCTCTTCTCCCAAGTAACCAGCAACAGGACAAGAAGAAAGTCTCAAGCTGCAATGAGGGGATGTTAAGATTACACATCAGGAAAAAAATTTCACTGAAAGGGTTATCAAGAATTGGAACAGACTGCCGAGAGAGGTGGTGGAATAACCATCCCTGTAGGTGTTCAATAAATGACTTAGCACATGGTGGTGTTTTGTCAAAGGTTGGACTCTGAGATCTTTAAGGTCTTTTCCAACCTTACTGATTCTGTGATCAATTGTTGCCTCATCAGATGTGATGTCTATGATGAATTTTTAATAGCATTCACAAAAGTCACTTTTATCTGCCCACAGTTTCTCATTGTCTAAACTTCAGATGGTGGCAAAGAATTCAAACCAAATTCTTCCCAAGGTTTGCCTACTGTGCTTACTGTGAGTAGAAAAACACAGTAACTATTCAAATCATGATCTATGGTATCTGATTTTTCCTTAAGAGTTGTCTCAATGGCCTGATTAATTGTGTTCTGACTTGTTCTTATTTACTTGTGAACATTTAATGAACCTGAATCCTTTTATTTAATCAGTGCTTTGTAGCTTTAAAACCATCTGGAAAGGTCTACTGGATTTACTGCCTTTAAATGCATTTCAAATCTTTCTGCATTTGCTATCTTTTTAAGAATTACCCATGCTTTCCAAGTTAGAGTGTGTTTAGTTAAAGTGGGGTTCTCAAAGAAGATTCTTCACTGAAACTCGCTGCTTAATGGACTAGTTGTCTTCATGCCACCATGATTTACACTTCTGCTAAAAAGTGCATTATGGTATGAATGTATTTTTTCCTATTAGATGTGCAGGCGCCCAGAAGACAATTAGAAATTAGTTAGGTGATTTAACTCCTTATTCTTAAGGTCTGTAACTACGTCATGAAATGAATATGCACTGACTGTAAGCTGGAATGTTTAAGAGCTCTTTGGAAAATCAAAGCACAGGCATACAAAGAGCAAACCTGCAGTAGTTTCACTTTTTCTGCTAATGGAAATACAGCATCCTCACCAGGCTTGGCTTTAATGCTGAGAGGATTCATTTTTACTGATTTACACTCAAAAATGCATTTCTCTTCCATAGGTTATTGCCAGGTGATCATTCTAATCGTGTGCATCTTCATGGCCAGAACAACAAAAAGATTAAAAATGTATCTTCCACTGCGTGCTTGTAGGGATGTGCTGTTTACTTGTGGAGTTTGGGTTTTTGTTGTTATGGGCATTGGTTATTTGGGTTTTGGTTATTGGTTATTTTGGGATTTTTTGTGCATTTTTTTATTATGTGAGAGTTTTTTGTGTCTTTGTTTATTTGCTTGCTTTTGTTTCTTATTATAGCTTTATTTTTGGTTTGGTTTTGAGCATGCTATCTCTACGTAGTAGAAATGCCTAGAACTGATTTCTGATGTGTTGAAGAAAACAGGTAAGTTTCTGTGGAAGAAAAAAGGAATGTAGAAAAATCACATGTATTTTTTTTTCCTTGATATTACTCTAATAGTTTATCCTTTTTCTTCATACTTAGCAATTTAGAGACTGAGATAGTTCAGTACTTGCTTTTCATGTTGTTAACCATCTTGTCTTTGAGAAGTTGAGTCAGAACTATTCTGTTGTAACCATCAGACATCTCCAGTGATACAAGAGGTCCCTTCTACAATAGGGGACATTTCACAATATTAACCAGATTGGAAGGTACTTAGGAAAGAAATTTAGTAAGAAATTACTTGCATAATGACCCTATGAAATATTTTTATTTTGTGACTCCTGTACTTTTGTGGTGTCCCTTTTTGACTGTGAGGAACCTGAGGCCTAAAGTTGATAAAAAATACCTTAGAGGAAAAAAAAAAAAATGATGCTTATCACAGGTTTCTTAATGTTTATTAGAGCATCTGTTGTGTTTACCTGGAATTTGTAGTATCAGACTACCTCTTTTCTGGGTATTTTTTTTCCTCCTCTCTCATATGTTACGTATTGGGTGGAATTAATTGAATATGTGCACAGAAACTTCAGTATCAGCATCTGCTGCCACTGTCAGAATTTAGCGTGTCCAGTCTCCCCAGAGAAGGAGCTTCGAGATAAGAAAAGTAATAGTCATTTCTTTGTGGTTTGTTTCTTTGCTCCATTTTCATGAAAGATGTATAACATTTTAACAGCTTTTGCTGGCTTGTGTATGCTTTTTTAAACTCCTGTCTTCGGACCTTTTACTGTAATTTTCACACCCAGTTTTAGGAGGAAAAAGGAACTTGATAAATTCTGAAAAAGGAAGGAAAAATGTTTTTTAAGAAGGTGTGCTGTCTAGGTATCTAACTAATGAAGATTCTCCCTCTAGACACTCAACACTGCTTTCAAACTGCCATTTTGAGTCTTCTCAAAGGATCTCCTTCGTGGGCTCTTTCCCAGTAGACAAAGACCTGAGAAGTTCTCTTTGGGGGGCCGCTGAGGTCAGCAGGCACAAGCGCTGGTGAGAAGGGCTGCCCTGGTGGGTGGCAGAGGTGAAGCTGCCTGCCTGTCTTCGTGGATACTTTCTTATCCCTCAGCCTTGTTTACTTCTGCCTAGACCTGAGATAATTGGACAATAGTGGCACCTTTATCTTAAGTCCCCTAAGGTCGCTTAACTCACACTCCAAAGTTCCTGTCAGGGGTCATATTTGCAGAGGAGTGGGCTTCAGTAGTCAGAGCTTCTTTATATAGTTTTGCCAGAATGGGCAAAAAGTCCTTCATAACAATGTTGAAGCCATCAGCCATAACATTTCAGTCTCTCACACCCTCTGCCTGGGGCAGGGACACTTTCCACTAGACCAGGTTGCTCAAAGCACCATCCAGCCTGGCCTTGAACACTTCAGCCTCTATTTTTCCACATATCTCTGTTTTATGCCACATCCTATATGAATATCTCCATCGAGGAAGACTCTACCGCCTCTCTAGCAATCTGTTCCAGTGCAGTCAACCACAGTCAACCCTAATCATAGTGGCAGCTTGGGGTTGAGCCTGAGGACCTCAGGAACGTGGGAGGCCCGAATGAGAAAGGTGTGAAAGGAGCAG